TCAGCAGAGTCATTGTTGTTCTATGGGAAAACTTGATTTTTGTATGTTGATTTTATAAACTGTTACTTTGCTAAATTTGTTTATTYGCTCTAGCAGTCTTTTGGTGGAGTTTTTGGATTTCCTATGTATAATATCATGTCATCTGCAAACAGTGACAGTTTGATTTCTTCCTTTCCTTTTTTTATCCCTTTTATTTTCTTCTCTTGCCTAATTGCTCTGGTTAGAATTTCTAGCACTAATATTAAGTAGGAGTGGTAAGAGTATRTGTTTGTCTTGTTCCAGATTTTAAGGGGAATGCATTTCATTTTCCCCCATTTATTATGAGGTTGGCTTTGTATTTTTCATATATAGCCTTTATAATGTTGAGGTAGGTTCCTTTTATCACTAGTTTCTTTGGTGTTTTTATCATGAATGTGTTCTGAATTTTTTTCTAAGGCCTTCTCTGCATCTRTTTTGGATGACTAAGTGATTTTTGTCTTTCATTTATTAATTTATGTATATTAAACCATCCTTTTTTTTTGGAGTACCAGGGATTGAATTTAGGGACACTCAACCACTGAGCCATATCTCCAACCCTATTTTGTACTTTATTTAGAGAAAGGATCTCACCAAGTTGCTTAATGCCTTACTGTTGCTGAGGCTGGCTTTGAACTAGCCGTCCTCCTATCTCAGCCTTCTGAGCTGTTGGAATTACAGATGTGTGCCACTGCACCTGGCAAACCTTCCTTGCATCTCTGGAATAATATCAACTTGGTTGTGATGTACAGTCTTCTTAATATGTTATTGAATATGATTTGCCAATATTTTGTTAAGTATTTTTACATCTGAGTTCATCAGGGATATTGGTCTAGTTTTCTTTCCTTGTTGTGTCCTTAGTTGGTTCTCRTAGTACATACTTTATAAGTATTTGTTGAATTATACCCTCATGTCAGTATATTGAAAAGCACATTTCACAATGAAGTTCTGAGTGTGTTTCAGGGAGCCCTCAGTTGAATTAGTATACAAATAGAGTAGATGAATTTCTCTTGATGGGAAGTAAAAGCTGCAGGGTCCTAAGAAGGGCTAGTGGCAGACTATGACAGACTTACAGACCATTAACAGTGCTGTTTCTCATTGCTTCCCCTGATCTCTTACCTTTTCATTTTATTTTCTACTGCTTATAAAAATAATCCAGTTCTAAATTAAAAAGCTATATGTGGGATTTCTTGTTACTTCTRTATCTTTTCTGCATTTGATTGGGCACATTGCTTGGTGTTGCTTTTCTGCTTTGGTGTTTCTTTTTATAAATGTAAATCATTGATTTATTTCTGTTTTTGTGTTCCTCACTCAAATAACTCATATCCTCAAAGTAACATGCCATAGGAAAATTAACCCTTAGTGCTCCTACATTTTGTATTTCTTATTCTTGTTGAATAATATGTATTATGGACKGCTTTTTAGTCTTTTTCTGGCTAGTAAGATCTTATAGGACAAGATCTAAGGCATCATTGTTCAAGATTTGACTCTTGACTTATGTATAGCTTGTTTTTTCAGCATGTTGATTAGCTGTAGTTGTTGACCATATTCTCCTTGAAAGGGTCCACAGGTTAAATAAGGGTGAAATAGGATGATGAAAGGGATGAGGTTCCAGTATATATCTTTGGTTACCATGGGATGTTAACTTTGCATTGTGTATAYGTTTTGCCTGCTGGTTTAATAAAGATATGTAAATAAAAACATTGCATGTTTACATTCAGTGGTATCATGGGTGAATGATAAAAAATTCCTTTTACAGAAACCTCTTTTCCCTAAAAAAAAAAAAATTATATTTTAATGACACATACTAATTAAACATTTACAGAGTATAGTGTGACCTTCAATAAATGTATACAGTGTATAATGATCAATTCAGGGTAATGGGTATATCTGTCACCTCAAACATTTATCTTTTCTTTGTTGAGAACATTTAAAATCCTTTCTTAGTTATTTTGAGATATTCAGTTTTTGCCAACCATAGTTATCCTACCATGCTATAGAACATTAGAAGTTACTCTTTCTTACTACACCCCTATACCCATTGACCACTCTTTCTCCATCACTTCTGCCCCTACACCCTTCSTAGGTTCTGGTAACCATGCTTCTGTTTTCAAATTCAATGAGATTGACTTTTCCAGTTTCCATATGTAAGCATGAACATGTTTTATGGCTCTTTCTGTACCTGACTTATTATACTTAATGACATTTCCTTTAGTTCCATCCATGCTGGTACAAATGACAGTATCTCATTCTTTTTTATGGCTGAATAGTATTTCATTTTGTGTATATATCACTTTTTCTGTATGCATTCATCTATCTGGTGAACACATAGGTTAATTCTGTATCTTGGCTATTGTGAATAATGCTACAATAAACATGCTAGTGCAGATATCTCTTTCACATACTGATTTTAATTCCTTTGAGTGTATACCCAGAAGTGGGATTGCTGGAACTTATAATAATTCTATTTCTAATTTTTTAATATTTAKTTTTTAGTTATAGGTGGACACAATGTCTTTATTTTACTTTATGTGGTGCTGAGGATCTAACCCAGTGCCTCACGCATGCTAGGAGAGCACTCTACCTCTGAGCCCCAACCCCAGCCCTATTTCTAATTTTTTGAGGCCTTCATACTGATTTCTCTAATGGCTGAAGTAATTTACATTCCTACCAACTGTGTATGAGAATTTCTCTTCACATCTTTGCCAGCATTTATCTTTTTATTGATAATTCTTTTAACTTGGTGAGATATCTCATTATGATTTAATTTGCATTTCCCTGATGAACTAGTGATGTTGAACATTGTTTCACATATATGTTAGATATTTGTGTATCTTCTTTTGAGAAAAGGCTATTTAGGTCATTTGTTCAGTGGATTTTKGGAAGATTTTTGCTATTGAATTTTTTTAGCTCCTTACATATTATTATTATATTATTATTAATCTTCTGTTGGATGGATGGTTTGTAAGTATTTTCTCCCATTCTATAAGTACAGTATTTTCTTTTCATTCTGTTGTTTCTTTTCCAGTATAGAAGCTTTTTAGTTTGCTATAATCCCATTTTTCTTTTATACTTTTTTGGATGATAGCCAAAAAATACTTGCCCAGAGCAACATCCTGAAACATATCCTCTGTTTTCTTAAAGGAAATTCCTTTTTGTTTTACTTTCAAGAAGGCAAGATAATTCCTAGACTCTTAATTTCATATATAGCATAAGGTTCTTCTTCTTCTCATTAATCTTATGCAAAAGGGGTTACTGAGACTTGTAGCTGTCATTTRGATTTATATATCTAGGATGTCTATGGTTCTAAGCACTTGTAATATGAAATAAAAAGTATCTTAGAGATAAATTGAAGTAGATATATATAACAATACCTAGATCCAGATATATATACAACAAACCAGCTCTAAAATAAACAAATGAAAAAGTCCTGATCTTTAGTGTTTGCAGATTTCCACTATGGTCAGTTTGAAGCGGTTTATTCACCTGCTTAAAAAATTCCTGAATATTTAATCATTTGCATTTTCCAGTTGTATAAGCCAGCTTCAGCCCACCAAATTGGTGGTAATAAATTATATTTTATCTGTAATTTTAAAATTTTCCTCTTTTTCAGCTTGGATATATAAGCAGAGTAACAGCAGGAAAAGACAGCTACCTAGCCTTGGTGGACAAAAACATTATGGGGTATATTGCCAGTCTCCATGAATTGGCTACTACAGAAAGACGATTCTATTCAAAACTAAGTGATATCAAATCTCAGATACTCAGGCCTCTTCTCAGTTTAGGTAAGTTTTGAAACCTCTTCCCACCAGCAACTCCAAATCATCAGGGCGCTTGTTTTATCTGTTCTTCCTGTATTATAAATAAGACTTTGTGGTTTGATTTTTTTTTTTTTTTTTTTTAAAGGGATGAGGTCTTGCTATGTTACTCAACCTGGCATTGAACTCCTGGACTCAAGTGATCCTTTCTGCCTTAGCCTTCCAAGTAGTGGCACACACTACCTTAACTGGCTTTAAGAAAAGCCTTTGAGTTATGGTTTAYTCCTTTTCTTTCCATTCCCCTTCCCCCTCTCTTTTTTTGGACACAGACAATTCAAACTGTTTTTAGTTTCTCACTAGCCCAGCTGTCTCCACCCTATCCTGCTGCTCCCAGAGCTCCTTCTTCGTATGCAAGTTGAAATTGAAACTTTCAGAATATTAATATCTGAGGAAGTAACCCAACATTTGGACTTCCAAGCAACACTTCCAGCTTCACTGGTGTTAAGATATCTTCCATTATACTCTGAATTTTTCATTTTCTTTGCTATAGGTCTTAGAATTATATCAAGTAGATTAATTTGGATTAAATAAGTGATCTCCATATAATTGGTAAGGGCCAGGCCTAGTGACACATGCCTATACTCCCAGCAGCTCTGGAAGCTAAGAAAGGAGGATCACAAGTTTAAGGCCAGCCTCAGCAACTTAGCAAGACCCTAAGCAACTTAGTGAGACCCTGTCTCAAAATAAAAAAAAGGGGCTGGGGACGTAGCATAGTGGTAAAGCGCCCCTGAGTAAAATCTCCAGTACCCCCACCCCCAATTGTTAAGGGTCTTATCTCACATTAGCACAAGTTGATTAAATCTATTATTTTTCTACTCTTGGCTACAAAGAGGGATTAGAAGTGAGCTGTGATGTGGAGAAAGTAGTTACTGTGGTACTCAATAGGATGCTGCTTTCCAATAATAACTGGGACCTGAGTCTCTGGGAGGTTAGGAAGGAATGTGGGGTAAATAGATCAGGGGGATGTTTGAAGATAACCATTCCTTTTTTTTCTTCAAAGTTTTTTTCTCTTTGGTCTTGTGCTGGGAAAATGGAGAGGAAGTTTCTTTTTCTCTTTTACTCCCTGCTGCGCTTTGAGGACCTAGAATTTAGGCTAATCTCTAGCATATCAGTTTTCCTACATTAAGATGACATTAACTTGTGTGGGTTTGCCTATTATTCCTAATAGAAAAACATCTGCTTTCCTAACAACTACCTCATTCTTTGTGAATACAATCACTTTGTAAATTGGGGATGATCTCATTTTTCTTTCTTTCTTTTTTTAATATGCTTTGCATTTTTAAATGTTCACAGTCCCTATTCTGTAAATTCTCTCTCTTGGGTGGGCCTAACACTATAGGATTTAGACAAGGGAAAGGGAGCAACCCCTCCTTCCTGGATTACTCTGGAAAGAAAGTGAAGACTACCTTTCCCCTGCCCCAGTTCCCARTGTCTGTGTTGSTCTTATCTGATCTATTCATCTATTTCATTTCTTGGAAAGAAGTCCTAGAAATGAATAACTTTGGAGAGGGAAAAGGCAAATAATCTTTGGATGCCTTTTATAAAATTCAGGGTGATCTAGACAGTATTATTTTTGGTTTGCCCTCCCTCTGCATTAAACTTGTCTAAGGGGCARGTAGAGAAGAAATAAGGATAAAATGCTGAAAAGGTTAATCAAGATATAACTATAGAAGTGAGTTTAATTCCTGGATAAAAAAAAATTGTGTGAAATTGAATAATTCACTTACGTTCTATTAGCTTCATATTACATGTTTTCAAAACCTGAGACATGTTGGGGTAGCTCAGAGGTTCTAATTTGGTTAATCTTCAGCTAGAAAGGACTTTTTTGTTTTTAAACTAACTACCTGGAATCTTAAAACTAGATCTACTGGGTCAGAACTTAAAAGTTCCTGTGAATTTGTTGTAAGTTTCTCAAATGATTGGATTCCATGATTTCTGAAATTGCTTTCTGTAACATTTTCTGTAATTATTTGGGTCCTATAGATGAAAATACATCTCAAAATGTTAAGTATTCTTAGAAAAGTAAAACTCTTGATCATATAATCATAATATGATTTAATTTAATTTAATCATAAGAAAGCATTTGGTCTTTGTGTTGTCATCATTATTATTCTGTTGCAGAAAATTTGGGCACTGTGCCTGCAGTCCAGCTGTTACAGGAGGTGGCAGGCCGTTTCAGCAAGCTGTGTTACTTAATTGGTCAGCATGGAGCCTCCCTGAGCAGCTTCCTTCAGGGGATAAAGGAAGCCAGGAGTTTGGTCATTCTGAAACATGCAAGTCTCTTCTTGGATAGTTATACAGAGCAAGTATCCAGTCCCGTGTCATGTTCAATCTCTGCAGGGTTATTCTGCCAAGGAGAACAGCTCCTTAATCAGAAGAGACTAGATTAGGGAGAGTGATATAAGGTAATAGAAATTGAAAAGCAGTATTTTAATTTTAAACCGACTGTAGTTCTGCATTGTTAAAATTCAGTTTTCTTTAATGGGAAAAAAAATTCTGGATTCTCTTATTTCCTTCTATATTCTGGCAGTGATTGATAGTATACTTAATTTACATGAAATGTACTGTAGTAAATCTGATTATTTTGTTTACTTAAGTAATTTTTAGTAAAAGTTGAGGAAATAAGAAATTAAACAAAATTATTTTAAGACCAACTATAAATATGGAGCTGTTCTGATGTCTGCTTTTATTTATATAAATGGAAGGTTTAAAAGGTCTACTATATTTAACATAAAAATATTTCCTCGATAAAACATRGAATTAGTTATGGAAGGTTCTTTCTGTTTTTTAAGTAAACTTTCCTGGGTGTATTTGAAAATTTAACTTAGAAATTTTCTCATTTTGTCTTGATTTATATGTTGATATTATGATTTAGGGCATACTTTATGAATTATTTTATTGTATACTATTTTATGCTGCTATGCTGAAATATGTATTGGTTTTATTCTTTACTCATTCATACCTCAACCATGAATTTATTTTTATTCCTATAGATGGTACAAAATATAACTGTGTTTATGATTTTTTTTGTTGTTGTTGTTACAGGGGTTGGACCCAGGGGTGCTTAACCATTGACCCACATCCTCAGCCCTTTTTATTTTTCATTTTGAGACCTGGTCTCACTAAGTTGCTTAGGGCCTTACTAAGTTACTGAGGCAGACTTTGAACTTGTGATCTTCCTGCCTCAGCCTCCTGAGCCACTAGAGTTAACAGGAGTGTACCACAAAACCCGGCATATTTATGAATTTTTTTAAAAAATATTTTTTAGTTGTCAGTGGACCTTTATTTTATTTATTTGTATGTGGTGCTGAGAATCAAACCCAGTGCCTCACACATGCTAGGCAAGCGCTCTACCACTGAGCCASATCCCCAACCCCATGAATTTTTTAAATTGTTTTATTTGTAGTAAAATTCATATCACCTAAAACTTACCACCAAAACCATTTTTTTAAAGTCTGCAACATCTTGAGTTATTTTTATTAAGAATTTTTTTCCTACCATAGTTTTTTTTGTTCTAGAACTGCATATAAATGGGATTATAAAGTACATATAAGACTTTTACTACWAATACTTTTTTCATTTTTTGATACTGGGGATTGAACACAGGGGTGATTTTACCACAGAGCTACATTCCCAGCCCATTTTGTTTTTTATTTTAAGTCAGGTCTCACTAAATCTCAGAGGTTCTTGGTAAGTTGCTGAGGCTAGCTTTGAACTTGTGATTTTCCTGCCTCAGCCTCCTGAGTCACTGGAATTATAGGCGTGTACCACTTGAGGTGGCTACTATGCATACTTTTGAAGTTCATCCATTTTGTTTGTGTATCAATAATTCATTTCTTTTTGAATCTGATTAGTATTCCCTTAAATGAGTATACCACAATTTGTTTACCTACCTGTTTGATAGATGACATTTGTTGGTCCCCCTCCCACCCCCATTTGGGTATGTTCTGAATAAAGTTGTTAGGAATGTTTTTACACACACACACACACACACACACACACACACACAAGTCCCTTCTTGGTATCTGTGACAGCACATGCTTATAATCTCGGGGAAGAGAGGGAGGCTGAGGCAGGAGAATTGCAAGTTCAAGACCAGCATGGACAACTTTGTGAGACCCTGTTTCAAAATATAAAGGGGATCTGAGAAGTATCTCAGTGGAAAAACGCCCCTGGGTTTAATCCCCAATACAATAATAAAATAAAATACAGAATTTCCCTTCTTATTTGGTACGGTGGCACACACCTGAAAGCCCAGTGACAGGGGAGACAAAGGCAGGAGGATCTCAAGTTCCGAGCTAGACTTGGCCACTTAATGAGACACTGTTTCAAAACAAACTAACAAAAAAGTGGGGATATAGCTCTATGGTAGAGTACCTCTGGTTTCAATTCTGAGTATGACAAAAAAAAAAAAAAAAAAGAGAGAGAGAGAGAGGGTGTTCCTTCTCTTTCAAAATGAGTATAAARTTAATGTACCTAGCTTAGAGCAGTTTGTCTACCTCTCTAGCAGTGTCAACATGTAATCAACATTTTCTAATATTTTCACACTCAGGCTCTTTAAACATGTTTTCTTACCTTCTCTATTATTCATTTTCTGAAATCTTAGTTGGGAAACTTGAAGATTAAATTTTCATTAAAATTAAACAACCTTAATCATATTTTTTCTAGTTAGTTACCATTTACTATCTGCCAAATAAATTCAGCATCTTCATAGCTTTAGATGCTTTTAAAATTTTCTGTTTTATTAACATTTACCCCTAAACTGGCATTTACCACTCCCCACCCTCTTGTGATTATCCCACCATCTGCTCTTTTCTTCATTCCTTTACAGTTCCCAAATGTTRACATCACTAAAGTTCTGAAACTCATTGGTGAGATTTCAAGAAGCATCTGTTCCAGATACTTGCTTGAAAACTCTGAAGAACTATTTACATTTTATCACTAATATACATGTGTTTTCTTTTTTTGCTCAAGGTATTGCACATCAATTACAAATTTCCTGGTTATGGGAGGATTCCAACTTCTTGCTAAACCTGCCATGTAAGCAAATGTGTTCCTCCAGTTATCCTAATATCCAAAGATCATGTTTTATAGTGCTGTGTGTTTTTGAGGGCCCAGGGAAAGTCTTTTGACTTGATCCTTTTACTAAATGAATTAAAATTTAGACTTTTTGCTTTGAAAATAACAGGTAATGGTGTCATTTGGTCTCTGATTATTCCCCCAAACTGTGAAATATATGATTCATTTCCTAGAACATAGCACCTAAACATGTATATTCTGAACAAAGATACTATCTGATAAAATTTTCTATACAATGTCCTGCGTATTAGCTAATACCAAATTATTAACTGAATTTTTTTTTCTTCTACCTCCAGTGATTTCTTAAATAAAAACCAAGAGCTGCTGCAGGACTTATCAGAAGTGAATGATGAAAGCACTCAGTTGATGGAAATACTGAATACATTGTTTTTCTTGCCAATTAGACGGCTTCATAATTATGCAAAAGTTTTGCTAAAGCTTGCTACTTGTTTTGAAGTGGTAAGTTTCCATATGTACTCCCTTTGGATACTTATGAAGCTAAAGGATCATGGTAGTCTGTTTGGGTTATGCTACCATAAGATCTAAAACTTCATTAGTATTTACATGTGTCTAATTAAATTTCTTTTTCTTTGGGAACATAAAAGTGTAGGTAAATCTAGTTTTCTTTGCTTTGGATTCAGCTTCCTTTCAGGACCATATCCAAATGGATTATATTCACTTTATGAAACTGTGTCTAAACTTGAGATCCTATTATGAGTGCTACTCATTCAGTAGTTGTTAGTGTCTGTGGAATGCATACTGAGTATGAGTGACACGGAACTCTTTAAACCCTGGCTTCTGTATAATGGTACACACTTGTGAGGTAATGGAGTTACCACCTGGCCTGGATTCATGGTAGACTGAAATCAGGTGTTTTGGTCACTGAAGCAAGTGCTTTGAGAAATCACTGTTATAGGATTTTCTCAAATGTTAGCCAGTCTACTTTCTGTGTAAAATTAACCAATTGGAGCCCTAGGAAATTAGAACCACTGTAGGATTTGGGTATAAGAGCTGATGCTGAGATATTCACTTTTGAAATTATACTGAAATGTRTGATTGCATTTTGTTTCTACTCTGAAGAACTCTAGAGAAACCGTAATGATTCCAGGGTTCCTTAAAACTTTTTTTTTTTTATCTTTATTTGTTTATTTTTATGTGGTGCTGAGGATCAAACCCAGTGCCTCACATGTGTGAGGCAAGTGCTCTGCCACTGAGCCACAACCCCAGCCCCCCTTAAAACCATTCCAAAATTATAATCTTCTGATCTGGACAGATTCAGTCCCCAGAGTGACCCAGGAACTGATATGGGATTTCTGTATTTGATACTTGTGTGATCTCTTATGTGTTTCCTTTAGTCTGATTTTATTTTCGCCCAGACTGATCTAGTTTTAGCTGTGCAGGTTTGAGCCACCAAATAACCCAACAAGATGGAGATTTCACCTCAATATGGCCTCAGTTGATCAAAAATTTTCTCTGCTAGGTCAGCTTAGAATTGTTCAGCAAGACTGGTGTTRTACTATTTCTAGTTTGAAGGGCATAATTCTGAGGAATAATCAAGACTGTTTGTCAATCAAGGCCTTGCATACTCTAACCCTCTTTTGTTTCTAGTCTTATCTTTTCCTGTGTCTGATACGTTAGTCATGTGCTTTATATTTCCTTCCTAAAGTAACCTTAATACTATCCTCACTATGGAAACTGTAAAGGCCTGGCTCCAAAGTTTTATTATTTTTTAAAAATCAAGCCCTTCTAGCCTATACTGCTTCTTCCTCCTATTCCCAGCTCTTAACAGTTAGTTACTTCCTCCTCTGTGCTCTGCCAGCACTTTATTTCTCCATTATGTTTTTYAGTGCTCCTTGTCACAGTGTATTGAAATCATCTGTGTGGAAGTTTTCTCAAAACACACACCTGTGTTCCATTATTGTAAAGTATAAGTTAGTAAGTCTAAGGTACAACCTAGATCATCATTTTGTATATTTTTTTAAACTTCCCCATAACAATTAATAATATTTAATGTTTGTTTAATGCATTTCATCTTCTAGTTTTTTGATCTCCGCATCAAACCTATGAAATAGGTATTACTACTATCCCCCTTTTACAGATGAGAGAATTGAGGCACATCAGAGAATTGCCAGAGCTAGAATTCATATCAGGCATTCTGACTTCAGAGTCTGTTCTTTTAACCACTTTCCTTACTATATTGTCTCCTGATATAGAAACTATTTTAAAAACTTGCATTATCCTGTATTACATGTTTTTCAATCTTTCCTGCCTACTTATAAGCTCCTAGAAGACAAATCTTTAGATACTCATTAAATGTTTGTTAAGTATTTTAAAGTTGCTGGGATTACAGGCATCCAGCAAATATGAATATAAGCCACTCTTACCTTCTGCTCATTTACCATATGGCGCAGCAGTTGTATCTGTCTTGGCAGTTGTTTCTATTTTCATGACAATTCTAAGACATTTGTCCTTTTTTCCATGTTGTGATTTTCATTAATAGTACAAAAGTAAAGATGGGTAAAACCACTGGTTCCTTAGCAGGAATCRGGCAATGGTAGGTAACAAACTGTACTAGCCTTGTACTTGCAGTTTAAAACCAAAACAAGAATTCCAGTTTCCTTTAATAATGAAGAAGCAAGGGCAGAGGTTGTGCCTCAGTGGTGGAGTGCTTGCCTAGCATGCGTGAGGCACTGGATTCGATCCTCAGCACCATGTAAAAATAAAGGTATTGTGTCCACCCACAACTAAAAAAAAATAAATGTTTAAAAAAAAAAGAATGAGGAAGCAGTTAAAATTATTAACTTTATTTAACCCCGGCCATTGAGTAGATRTCTTCTTAATTCTCTGTGTGATAAAAGGGAAAGTACCCATAGAGCAGTTCAGCTATCACCCCAAGTTTTTCTCAAGAAAAAGCACAATGGCAATCAAGCTGAGAACTGCTATTTTTTTGTTTTTTAACTTGAGTGGACAATTTAAATGGGCAGATGATAAACTATGGTTACTCAGATTTGGGTATTGTGAGATATTTTCTTAAATATGAGTAAAGGAACCTATTGTTTCAGGGAAAACATGATGATATTTGTTGCCAATGGTAAAATCTGAACCTTTTTCTTTTTTTGGTATGGGGATTGGATTCAGGGGCACTTTACTACTAAGCTACATCCCCAACCCTATTTACTTTGAGACAAGGTCTCACTAAGTTGATAAGGCCGGCCTCAAACTTTTGGTCCTCCTCCCTCAATCTTTCAAGTTGCTGGGATTACAGCACCCAGCAAATCTGGACTTTTATAAGCAAAAATTAGACAATCACTGATAGTTTCCCAATGCTTAGAACTTTTTCTGATCAAATAGATGGTAATATTAATGTTTTTGATGTTGTATATAAAAATGTATCTATATTTGGAAGATCTGTATAACTTAGTGTTTTCCAGTTGCCCCATCTACAATGTTATAGAATCATGTATGATGAAAGTGACTTAAAGTGCAAGATACTCCAGTGGATATATATAACAGTACAGAAGTTTCTTGCTGTGGTTTCAGATTTCACTTTTGTAGCTACCCTKTAAGAARCTATCTTAAGTTTTAGTATGTWTCAAAGGAAAATATCTATATAATTATTTTAAATAGATATTAAAGTACATCTCCCTTTTCTAGTTATCTATCCTTATAAGKCCAGATTTTCTTCCWATATTTCAACCAAACAAAAGCACAAGTAGATATAAAAATCTGACTATTGTCTTTTAAGTGATAATGAAGAGATTTGAAAAAATGAAAATCAGTGCCAGTTTTCTTACTAAAAATGCTTTTTTGGGGGGGGAAATACAGTTATCATTTAAAATCTTAAATTTTATTTGAAATGAATGAATATCTTTAAAAAATTCTTATTATCTAAAATGACATTTATCAATAGGTATGCCCTACAGGGACTCTGAAAATAAAACATTTGAGACCTCCTGCCCTAACCTGTGTCCTCACTGATAATTGCCAGTGTGCACTCTTCCCCCACCCCTTGCATTATTCCCCCATCTCATGTAGACATACTTACATCGYAAGTATTTTTGGAAATGAATCTTTTCCCCAGTTCCCTTTAGTGTACCACTGCTGTCCTTGGGCTGAATTTTCTCCCTCAATTAAAGACTACATGTCTAAATCACACTAAGGCTACAGATTCTAGACAATTGTTTTATATTCTTTTCTTGTTTTTCTTAATTATTGGCCTCTAGACATCTAGACAATTGTTTTATATTCTTTTCTTGTTTTTCTTAATTATTGGCCTCTAGACATCTCCAGAATATCAGAAACTGCAGGATTCCAGTTCTTGTTATGAGTCTCTTGCTCTCCATCTCGGCAGGAAAAGGAAGGAAGCAGAGTACACACTGGGCTTCTGGAAGACTTTTCCTGGAAAAATGACGGTAATCCATGCCAACTGACATTTGTTACTCCAGCAAACAGCAGGCATTTTCATAACGATTGCCATCATTTTCTTGGTTTCTCACTTGTTTATAACAATAGTGTTTTAATGATCCTATCAGAGCAATGGGGGCTTTAAATACCAACACCTCCCTTCATTTATAGGAATCCTCTGAAGGCTTACCTTCTTTAGTTGTTCCTGTCTTCTTTTTAATATCCTTAGGGCTCTAATTTTATGAAGTATTTGGATCCCATGTAAATATAAGTAAAATACCATGCTGAGCCATGACCAGGAGATTCCCCTAAATGTGGTTTGTGTCTGCTTCACTTTTTCTTTGCATGTTAAAATAATTTTGATTGTTTAACATAGTATTTGTTTTTAATTCTAGGATTCCTTGAGGAAGCCAGAGCGTCGACTGYTATGCGAAAGTAGTAACCGAGCCCTCTCTCTGCAGCATGCTGGGAGGTTTTCTGTGAATTGGTTCATTCTCTTTAATGATGCTCTGGTCCATGCCCAGGTAGGCCAGATTTCTAACAGGCCTTATTAATGACTACAGTCATATGTTACTTAATGACATACTAAGAAACATGTTGGTAGGTAATCTTGTTCTGCAAACATCATAGAGTGTGCTTCAAAAACCTGGATGATATAGCCCACTATACACCTGTTGTTCTCAGGCTACAAACTTGTAAAGCAGGTACCATACTGAGTACCATAGGCAATTGTAACACAGTGGAAAATATTTGTATATTTAAATGTATCTAAACAGGTTTGTTTACATCAGCGTCACCACAAACACATGAATAAGGTATTGTGCAGTGACAGGAATTTTTCACCTTTATTGTAATCATATGTATGGTCCACCATAGGCCAGAATGGCATTAGGTAGTACATGACTATCAATTTGTGTTAAAAACTATTGTGATTTCTCTACAACTATTGAATAAAAGAGAATATTTAGCTACAGCTTGCATTTGTAGTATAGACTAGATTTCAGAGAACTTTTGTTTGTTTGTTTGTTTAKTGTTGGGGACCAAACCTAGGACCTTGTGTGCCACGAGGCATGAGCTTTATCACTGAATAATATCCTTTATTTATATTGAGAATGAGTGTCAGCCATATGAAGAGGTCCCTGCAGCAGTGATGGCAATGTCCACTGGGTTTAGTTATATTATGGGAACTCAGTGGCAGAGATGGTAGCACCCACGTGGACTTAACCATTGCAAGGGGATTATACTGCAGAGATAGGCCCATATGGGCCAAGGGCATGTAGAGGATGTGCGCAGAGACCCTAGGTGTATGTGGACTTTCACAGACATACCTCTGTGTTCTCTTATTTCAGTTCTCCACACACCATGTATTCCCTTTGGCCACACTGTGGGTGGAGCCACTTTCTGAAGAAGCTGGTAATGTGTAAGTGCACTTCTTCTTCCCAGCTTACCTCCACTACTTCTCTCCCTGTTACCCAAGTCATTTCTTTACATGTTTTCTGTTTGTTTGTTTGTTTAAAAAAAAAAAAAGACACTCAGGAAGGCTTGGAAGGCTGAGTAATCAGAGTTCCTAACACATTTGATGGTTAACTGGCCTGTTGATAATAAAATGGCCCATTGTAAAAATCAAGATAGAGAGTAGAAGGGCATCTCCATTGCTCTCATCCCCATTGTTAACACAGAGCAAAGTAGCTCTGCATCCTTTCCCCTACTGTGGGATTCAAAATCAGGCCATTAGCATTTATATTTAATTGACTTCTGCCCCTCCTGAAATAAATAGACTGCTTTTCATATTTTAGGATTGATATTGTAATGACAGTTTGTCATACCTACTGGTATTTATCCTTGTAAACATTTTAGGAATGGCCTAAAGATAACTACACCTGAAGAACAATTCACTCTCATTTCATCAACACCCCAGGAAAAGGTTAGTCCGTTATGGTATTTTCTTTCTGTCTTTGACCTGGCTATTTCTGCCTCTTTTGGTAGTAAAGAGGAAATAAAAATTGTTCTTGTTTGACTAAGAATCCATAGTTATATAATTCTTTATTAAACCAAAAAAATGGTTTTTTTTCAATGTAACATAATCTTAACCATATAACTAAGTTGTACTACTCAACTAATTAGAAAAGTATTAGGAGACAGAAAAATTACAACAAAGAAAACTGTGATTAAAGTGGTGTTTGATGACTTGTTGCCTTAAGCTTATTGACATTCACTTTCTACTCCTAGACTAAGTGGCTACGAGCCATAAGCCAAGCTGTGGATCACGCTTTGAGGGGCACATCCGATCTTCCACCTTATGGAAGTGGTAGCAGTGTTCAGAGGCAGGAACCACCCATTTCACGCAGTGCCAAATATACATTCTACAAGGATCCTCGCCTAAAGGATGCCACTTATGATGGGCGGTGGCTATCAGGGAAACCTCATGGCAGGTAAAAATGCTTAAGATTTGTCCCTGCRATTAGGAGAAATTAAAGTCACATTATAGAAAAAGTACCTGAAACATTAGTTGATATGCATTATTCTTTGCTTATGCTTTCCAGGGGGATCTTGAAGTGGCCTGATGGAAAAATGTATTCTGGCTTATTCAGGAATGGCTTGGAAGATGGGTAAGAAAATTGTTTAAAGCATAAGAATACATTTTGAGTTTGATCACAAGTTATATTATGTTCAGAGTTGCTTTTCAAATATGCAATAGATTTTCGTTTTGTTTTTTAGACATGCTTATAGTTTATTAGTACTTACACTGCAGATGTGTGACCATAAATGGAGCTGGGAATATGGGGTGTAGCCTCTGATTTACCTTAATAGTCACGTGGCCTCAGTTACATAGCCTTCCATCTATTAAAATGGGTCTGTGCTTTCCCGCTATCTCCCATTCCTTGGGGAATCTAAATGGTGAGGTTTCCAGACAGTAGTGCCCCCTTTACACAAAGAACAAGAGCAATTTTCCTTTTAGTTTTAAATCATCTTTAATTTTTGTGATATGTCTGTCAAAAGGGCAATCTTGAGGAGTTCTGCCCTGCCCTGCTCTCTGYCATTGTGAGATTTTCCTTTCTCTAGCCCCAGTGCACTTTGCACTCTCCTTTATCACCACAGCCGCTTATCTTGTATTGTAATTTGTAATTATCTATGTCTATGTCTCCTCAGAGACAGGCCTCMAGCGTTTGGGACTGTGCTGATAAGGAAACTCCCATGCAAACTCCAATAGTTCTAGTACCTAGATTTATGAATTTAGTCAAATTATTTAATTGCTATATGCCTTGATTTCCTTGATTTATAAAATGGACATTAGACTCTTGTTGGCATTTRGTTGCTGGGAGACATGGGAGTAATATATGTGAAATATGAGGCATAAGGTGTATTCAATATAAAGGGTACGTTAAAAAAAGGAAATTTTGCAAGTGATGTATTATCCTAATGATACTCTAATAACATCTTTTTCATAAACTTGGCATAAATTTTTTTATGAGCTTGTCGTATTTTATAACACTGTAAATATATTTATACAATCAAATTATGGTGGTGACATTTTGTGTCGTGCTAAGGAAGTAATTTATATATGTGTAGTATATGATTGTGTATATGTGATAATACAAATTTTTTTATGTYTTTTGATCTCTTTTTAATAGATTTCTAAAATTAAAGAGACTTTAGATAATATGCTTTACCCCCTTTATTATGCCAATGAGAGATGATGGATTCCCAGACTTACATAAGGTGATACAGCTTATTAGTTAGAGAGAGAGTCCTGGAGCACAGGGCTTTGCTTTTCACTGGCCTTGGAATAAAACATCCATTCTGTCAGTACACTGTAGGCTTGATGTCCCTTCTAAGGCTTGTCAGTTGATCTAAGTAATAGATACAACTTAACCAACATCCCCTTTCTTCCTGTAGGGAAATCTTTTCTCTGTCCACATTAAAATGCTTACTGAAATATACATAATAAAGGTGAATAGATCATAAATGTATCTTCTGGTATTTTTAAATGTTCCTTGGAAGGTATGGAGAATACAGAATTCCAAACAAGGCTCTGAACAAAGAAGACCATTATGTGGGCCACTGGAAAGAAGGAAAAATGTGTGGTCAAGGAGTCTATAGGTAATTATGTTAGAAAGGTTATTAGACTGGTATTGCTTTTTCAAAGAACCATGTAAATCTAAAGTTTGTGTAGCCAGAACTTCTAAGGAGTAAATTTTATTTGATGACTCTTTTTAAAAAAAAAAAAACAAATATTTTTTTTTATGTGGTGCTGAGGATCAAACCTGGTGCCTCATACATGCTAGGCAAGCACTCTACCACTGAGCCCCAGCACCTATTTAATGACTCTTAATGACTAAAAGTATAATCTTCCTATAAAGAGCAACCCCTCATATATCACAAGATGAAATTCTAAGTTATTAACTTTGATTCTTATCTAAATTGTATATGTCATATAAACAATAACATTTCCCACATCTTGTCTACAAATTTAATTTTATTACTCAACTCTAATATTCTTCTCTCTTTATCGACAACTTATTATTTAATTTTCACATAAGGAACTAATATAATTTTCTCCATGTTATTAATGCAAGATAACCACCCATGATGTCTTTAACTTCTTAGGCTCAATCATTGAAAAATGAGTTTTTGATTGAAAAATGATTATATAAACAAGTATATAGTTATAGTTACCACTGAGATAAAGTATAGTTTTGGAGTTTTTAGACTAAGATAAACATCAGAATTCAATGTGTGTGTGTGTGTGTGTGTGATCTTTATCCATTCTTTCCAACCATAGTTATGCCTCTGGTGAAGTGTTTGAAGGCTGCTTTCAAGATAACATGCGTCATGGTCATGGTCTCCTTCGAAGCGGAAAACTGACTTCTTCTTCTCCCAGTATGTTCATTGGCCAGTGGGTAATGGATAAGAAAGCAGGATATGGTGTCTTTGATGATATCACTAGGTACGTTATTCTACTTTTAATCTCAAAAGTGTAGTGTGTGACAGRATAGGGTTCTTTTACTTCTCCGAAAATAGTGAAAGTTATACGAAGGCTGAGCATCTTCATTGAACGACATTAATAAAATTTTCATAAGGAAGCAGAGGTGACAGCCATCATCTTTTCCATTTTCCTTTTCTTCTCCTTTTTTTTTTCTTTTCTTTTTTTTTTTTTTTTTTTTTTTGTACCTGGGATTGAACCCAGGGGCACTCAATCACTGAGCCTCATCCCCAGCACCCCCCCTTTTTTTTTGTCTTTTATTTAGAGACAAGGTCTCACTGAGTTGTTTAGGGCCTCACTAAGTGGCTGAGGCTGGCTTTGATTACGGCATGTACCACCACACCAGGCTTCTTTTCCATTTTCTTGTGGGTTAGACAATAGATTACTTCTTTATGAAATCATAATAACTAAAAATTTATGTTTGTGCTGTTTTCCCTAAAGCTTCACACAAGAATTTCACTGTCTAAAAGAAGCTACCACATCTTATTATACAAAGAAAAACTTTTTTCTTTTTTTAAATTTAGTACCAGGATTGAACCCAGAGGTGCTTAACCACAAAGCCACCCCTGCCCCYAGCCCTTTTTATTTTTAGTTGGAGACAGGGCCTCACTGAATTGCTGAGGCTAACTTTGAACTTGTGATCCTCTTGCCTCAGCTGCCTGAGTTGCTGGGATTACAGGTGTACACCACCACACCAGACTAGGGAAAAATTTCTAATGCAGTCAATAGAAATAGGAACAAAAGATAGGAGAGAACCAATGGATAACTCTTAGAAGTTAAAGAGAATAGTCTGGAGCTGGGCAAGGTTATGCACACCTGCAATTCCAGCAGCTCAGAAGGTTGAGGCAGGAGGAGGATCACAAATTCAAGGCCAGCCTCAGCACTTTAGGGAGACCCACAGCAACTTTGCAATACCCTGTCTCAAAAAATGTAAAAGGACTGAGGATAAAGCATCCATGAGTTCAATGCTCAGTACCTCCCTTACCCCAAAGAAAGGATAGAATGGTATCTAAACAACTTTCTTCTTAGGGCTTCCTGTTAAGTTGGAAACTTGTTATTGTGCCTACCTACCAGAAATCAAGCCTAATAAAATTCAGTTAACTAAACCTTGGGGAGGAATATAATCCTTTTGCCTCCATATTTGATTTGGCTTAATTTACTTTGGACTTAGTGTATACTAATCCCACCCATGTTATTATTTGCCATAGCTTCCATAATGTGGGATTTTAAAAATTGCTGTTATTATAAGCTGTGTGATTAAAGGTATCTAGGAAATCTATAAAGTATATACAGAGCTGTATCAAGTAGGCCACAATATTAAATTCCTGAGAGAACATTACTTGGAATAAGATGTCTTTTGCTATCACATTGTCCCATGTTTGAGGGGTTAGGTAACCACTTTAACTAGAAAAATGGAACTGATACCAACCTAGAGGTGATGTTTGGAATCTCTTTTGTCTTAATTTTTAAAATCTGATTTATCCTTATTATTGGTGATTTTTTTCCCCCTTATTTCTATGCAGGGGAGAAAAGTACATGGGAATGTGGCAGGATGATGTGTGTCAAGGGAATGGTGTGGTCGTTACCCAGTTTGGATTGTACTATGAAGGCAACTTCCACCTTAATAAAATGATGGTGAGTGGAGTGTTCACACTGACTTTTAAATCATCTTTTTATTAGTATTCTACCTTCTTGGTGCTATTCTCCTGTCTTTAAGATTATGTTAAGCTTTGGGCATGGCTGAACATACTCTCAGGACTCACCTTTTGTGTGTTGTGATTTTGTTTCATTTCTTCACATAGGGAAATGGGGTTTTACTTTCTGAAGATGATACTATCTACGAAGGAGAATTTTCTGATGACTGGACTCTTAGTGGAAAGGTTGGAACTTTTTTATTTGTCTCCCTAATACATTCTTTTGCCAATTTTTCTTGACTTTAATGAAACCAATTTATATACCATAAGATTCACTGCTTTTAAGTATACATAACACCTATTTGAAGAAAATAGTTATATAGTCATCACCGCATCTTAGTTTTAGAACACGTCTGTCATCTGAAAAGATCCCTCCTGCCACTCATAGTCACTCCCTTTTCTACCTCCAGGACCAAGCAATGAAAGTGGACTTTCTTATGCTATAGATTTGCTTTTTCTGAACTTTTCTTATAAATTGAATCATGCATGTGGTTTCTTCTTTTTTTTTTTTTTTGTAACTTACCRTAGTATTTTTGACAGTTACCATAGTATTTCCATATTGCGGCATGTGTTGTACTTTATTCCTTTTTATTGCTGAATAATGGTATTCCAAAATCACATATTATCCTTTTGCTAGTTTGATGGAAACTGGGATATTTCTAACTCTAGACTGTTGCAAATAGTGCTACTATAAGCATTCAAATACAATTTCTTGTGTGTAYATATTTGCAATTGCTGGGTTATATGGTAAATGATGTTTAACATATTAAGAAACTGCAAAAATGTTTTCCAAACCGACTACACTATTTTATATTCCCACCAGCCAATGTATATTTGAGATCCTGGGTTCAATCCCAGTACTGTAAAAATAAATAAACAACAGATTTATAGTTTTTTAACTTCTTCCATTTAGGCCTGTGGTTTACTTTGTGGTAATTTTTGTGGGTGATATAAGTCTAAGTTCCTCTTTTTGTTTGTGGATGGCTAATTGCCCAACTCCTTTTCCTGCTGAATCTTCTTGATACCTTTGTTAGAATTAATTGATCATAAAATTGTTTATTTCTGAACTCTCAATTATATTACACTGATTAATATGTCTCTTTTTGTGTTAATATTGCATTATCTTGATTACTACAGCTTTCCAGTAGGTTTAAAATTAGGAAGTGTAAATCATTCAATCTTGTTCTTTTTCAAGGTTTCTTTGGTTACTCTGGATCTTTTGTCTTTCTGTATAAATTTTAGGGTTGGCTTGTCAAACACTGGAGTAAATCCTGTTGAGATTTTGATAGTGATCTGTTAAATCAGTTTTTGCTGATCAGTTTTGGGGAGAATTGATATATTAATAATTTTTGAAATCTTTCAACCTGTAAATGTTGAACATCTCACAGTTTACATAGGTTTTTAATTTTTCTCAGCAGTGTGTAGTTTTCAGCGTACATGTCTTGTGTTTCTGTGGCTAAATTTCCTCCTAGGTATRATGCTATTGTAAAGAGAATTGTTTTCTTAATTTTATTTTTAGATTGTTCATTGCTATAATATAAAAATATAGTTGATATTGTATTTTGTTCTTATATCCTGAAACCTTGCTCATTTATTATTAGTTCTCATGCTTGTTTTTGTAGACTTATTAGGATTTCTTGTATACAGAATCATGTCATCTACAAATAAAGACAGTTTGGGTTCTTCTTTTACACTGTCTTGAATCCCCAGTAAAATGTTGAATGGATGTGATAAAGTGAAAATGGATGTGATAAAGTGAACATTTTTTAAAATTAATTTTTAAAATTTATATATGACAGCAGAATGCATTACAATTCATATTATACATATAGAGCACAATTTTTCATATCTCTGGTTGTGTACAAAGTATATTCACACCAATTTGTGTCTTCATATATGTACATTGGATAATAATATCCATCACATCCCACCACCATTTATAATCCCATCTTCCCTCCCTTCACCTCCAAATCCTCTGCCCTATCTAGAATTCATCTATTCATGCTTCCTCTCCCTATCCCACTATGAATCAGCCTCCTTATATCAAAGAAAACATTCGGCATTTGTTTTTTTGGGATTGGCTAACTTCACTTAGCATTATCTTCTCTAATTTCATCCATTTACCTGCAAATGCCATTGTTTTATTCTCTTTTGTTGCTGAATAATATTTCATTTTGTATATATGCCACATTTTTTTTATCCATTCATCTATTGAAGAGCATCTAGGTTGGTTCCACAGTTCAGCTWTTGTGAATTATGCTGCTATAAACATTGATGTGGCTGTGTCCCTGTAGTATGCCGTTTTTAAGTCCTTTGGGTATAGACTGGGTCAAATGGTGGTTCCATTTCCAGTTTTCCAAGAAATCTCCATACTGCTTTCCATATATTGCCTCCACCAATTTTCAGTCCCACCAGCAGTGCATGAGTATACCTTTTTCCCCACATCCTCACCAACACTTATTGTTGTTTGTATTCATAATAGCTGCCATTCTGACTGGAGTGAGATGAAATCTTAGAGTAGTTTTGATTTGCAATCAAGTGGAATTCATCCCAGGGATACAAGGTTGGTTCAACATACAGAAATCAATAAATGTAATTCATCACATCAATAGACTTCAAGAATCATATGATCATCTCCATAGATGCAGAAAAAGCATTTGACAAAAAACAGCACCTCTTCATGTTCAAAACACTTGAAAAATTAGGGATAACAAGAACATATCTCAACATCATAAAGGTTATCTATGCTTAGCCCCAGGCCAACATTATTCTAAGTGGAAAAAAATTTAAGGTATTCCCTCTAAAAACTGGAACAAGACAGGGATGCCCTCTTTCACCACTCCTACTTAACATAGTTCTTGAGACACTGGCCAGAGCAATTAAATGAAAGAAATTAAAGGTATACACATAGGAAAATAAGAACTCACATTGGCACTATTTGCTGATAATATGATTCTATATCTAGAAGACCCAAAAAATTCCACCAGAAAACTTCTAGAACTAGTAAATGGATTCAGCAAAATAGCAGGATCAACACCCATAAATCAAAGGTATTTCTGTATATCAGTGATGAATCCTCAGAAAGGGAAACGAGGAAAACTACCCCATTTACAATAGCCTCAAAAAAATAAAATAAAATACTTGGGAATCAACTTAATGAAAGAGGTGAAAGAGCTAATGAAAAGTACAGAACCCTAAAGAAAGAAATCAAASAAGACCTTAGAAAATGGAAAGATCTACCTTGCTCTTGGATAGGCAGAATTAATATTATCAAAATGACCATACTACTAAAAGCACTATACTGATTTAATGCAATTCCAATCCCAATGACATTCCTCATAGAAATAGAAAAAGCAGTCATGAAGAGTGAACATCTTTACATTGTTCCTTGTTTTAGGCAAAAAGCATTTTTGTTAAAGAAGGTTTTCTGCATCTATTGAGATGAACATATAGTTTTTGTCTATCATTCTATCAGTATTATATTTGTTGCTTTTCTGATGTGAAACCAACTTTGCTTTTCTGGGGTAAATTATACTTGGTCGTGGGTATATAATCCTTTTATATATTGCTGGATTTTTTAAAAAAATAGGTTCTTGTTATGTTACCTAAGCTGATCTCAAATTCTTGGGCTCAAGTGGTTGTCTTGCCTTAGCCCCCTGAGTATTGGGACTGTAAAGCATAAGCCATTTCATATTTTATGGAGGAYTTTTGCATCTATATTTCTGAAAGGTAATAGTTTGTAGTTTTCTTTTCTCATGTGCCCCCCGACCCATTCCATTTCCTGTCCCTCCAGATCTACACTAGTGATTGAACCCAGGGCCTCATGATACATTCTATTAGGCAAGCATTCTATTATACTTCCAGTCTCTTTGATACAAGTTGAGAAGTTTCTCTCTTGTTTCCTGAGTTCATGATGCCCTGGTATTATTTCTTCTTTTGAGTGTTTGGAAGAGTTCACCAGAAAAGTCACCTGGACCTGAGCATTACTTTATAAGAAGATTTTTTTTCTTATTTTAGGTCTATTTAGATATTCCATTTCTTCTTGATTGAGTTTTAGTCATCTGTGTCTTCCTAGGAATTTTTCTTTTTCCTCTAAGTTATCTAATTTGTTGTCATAAAGTTGTTTTCTTAGTATTCTCTGTTTTAGTTCATTTGTGGTGCTTTGACAAAATACCATAGATTGAGAAGCTTATTTCCTGACAAATCTGGAGGCTGGGAAGTCCAAGATCAAGGCACCAGCATTGGTGCCTGGTGAGGGCCTTCCTGCTACACCCTTCATGGTAGAAGGTGCAGACACATGGTGGAAGGCAGAAGGGCAAAAGGTTGTAAACTACTTCCCTCTATCCCTTTTATAAGGCATTAATCTATTTGTGAGGTCAGAACCCTCATGACCTCTTCACTTCCCCAAAAGACCTCTCTATACCTCTTAATTCCACCCTAGTGAGAATTAAGCTTCAACATGAATTTTGGAGGGGACACATACTAAAACCATAGCCTTCTAACCTTTTACATTTCTGTAAAAATGCTAATAATATCCCTGTATCATTCTTTATTTTGTAAATTTATGTCTTCTCTTTTCCTAATTAGTCTAATTAAATATTTGTTAATATTRTACCTTTTCAAAGAAACAGCTTTTGGTTTCATTGATTTTTTTTGGGGGGGGGGTCTTCTGTTTCATTGATTTCTGCTCTAGTCTTTATTCCTTTCAGCTTCTTGCTTTGGCTTTTGTTTGTTCCCCTTGTTCTAGTTTTATAAGGTAGAATTTCATATTACTGATTTGAGATTTACTAATTTTCCTAGACAGGTATTAACAGCTGTAAATTTCCTCCTAAGCACTGCTTTAGCCTGATTCCATAAATTTTAATAGGGTTTAGATGTTCATACATCTAAAAATGTTTCCAACTGTTCCTATGGATTTTTTTTCTTTCACCCATGGATTATTTTCATACATTTTTTGGACTTGCACATATATACATTTTGTTGTTGTAGTTGTTGTTTATCAAAGAGTTGGAGACTGGTAAAATCAAATTAAAAAGAAAATTGTTAACAATTTAGTGGTTTGGGCTCTTAATTTTAAAAATTGAAATTAATTCCTCTAAGTCCACATTTTTTTCCCTCTAACTTTACCTAGGGAACACTCACCATGCCAAATGGAGATTATATTGAAGGATACTTTAGTGGAGAATGGGGATCTGGGATAAAAATCACTGGAACCTACTTTAAACCTAGTCTGTATGAGAATGACAAAGACAAACCCAAAGTTTTGTGAGTAACTGATGTTAATTCTGGATTAATTATTGAATGTTTGAGTTGTGTTGCTTTCATCAAAGCTGGTTAATATTTTAAAAGAAAAATCAAGTTTTTTTAAAGTCATCATTGTAAAACCGTGAAACTCCTAAATTGTGAACTGACACTGTATAGATAGCTAAATCTATAGTCTTGGCTTAAATTTTAAGTCTTAGTAATAGATGTTTAAAATAAAAGTTACTAGGGATAAGAGTAATCCAACTGTTAATGTTGCAGGTGTCCAACTGACTAAAAGAACATTCTTAAATAAAATCCCTTCACAACTTTAATTTGARAAGTAAAGATCAGTAGACAGATAGATATATGCCCACCCCATGTGGACTAGTACCATCTGCATATGAGTTTAAAAGTCAAAATCTAAATCTGTTTTTTCTTCCAAGGGTTTGCCCTATGCYTTTCTTTTATTAGCTTTGCTTTTTATTTTTTGGTAGTATCTCAGATTCTTTATTCCAATGGGAGCTGGATGTGTCTTCTGTAGTATGCTTATTTTTAGGGTATTTTTTAAACCCTCTGTGTGATATATTTCACAATTCTCATCATTGACTGTGCTAAGTTCAGGAAGCCCTTGTTTTAACATGAATCAATGTTATAAAATAAATTCTGTAGAAATGAAGGAGGCAGACAAGTCAATTCTGATGTGGTTTAAGCTTAAAAAATCCATAAACTTTTAATATTTAATAAACATTAATTAGGTAAAAAGCATCCCTTCTAAATTTTCATTCAGTGTTTTTAAAGTAGAACTAAACAGTTTTAGTCACAGAACTGTTCTCAATTGTATATTAGAAAGTTTTTATTCTTCAGAATGATACTGTACAAAAGAAGTGATAATGGGTTGCTATGGATTTATTAGCAGGAAGCTAGGAAACCTGGCAGTGGCTGCTGACGAAAAGTGGAGAGCAGTATTTGATGAATGTTGGCATCAGCTGGGCTGTGAGAGCCCAGGCCAAGGGGATGTTTGGAAAGCCTGGGACAACATTGCTGTGGCCTTGACCACCAATCGGCGCCAGCACAGAGACAGGTGAGTGCTTGCCTACCCAGCACAGGACATAGCATTAGGAAGATGTAACTTAGAACTAGTCAAGGCTCTGTACATTCAACTACAAACTACAATTTCATTTAAAAGTTAATCATGTATTCCTTCTGTGTAAGATGGATTAAAGCATACYTCCCTTATCTTCTATTAAACTCAAATAAAACCTGAACAGAATACTTGATAGCTATTTGAAAATTCTGAAAAGTAAATATCAACAATGAAGTGAAGAACTCCTAAATTCAAAGTGCCACCAAACCAGTGGTTAGTAGCGAGTGTTTCTCAGCTTGAACTCAATGCAACCTGAAACCTAAAGTAAGCAGACAGACAAGAGATCTAGAAAATGTCCTCTGCTTCTGACTCAAGGAGTGAGATAAGGGCTCCTAAAACTCAGAACAGAGCCTGTGCACCTGGTTCTCTTCCCCTTCCTTTTCCCCAGTCTCTCCTGCTGTAGTCTCTAACAAAGGTAACAATGGCAGTGGCTAGAGCAGCCATGAACAGGAAGCATAACTCCAAAGGAATGGAATTTTTTTCCTCTATTGATGGATTATCAGGTTCAAGAGGCAAGGTTAAACCCCATTTTGGGTGGACGGGGGACTCTGTTCTCCCATCATTCAGTCCTAGATATGGCACATTCATGGAAGTTGGCATTTTCTGGCTGGAGTACTTAAACAGGAAGTCCTGAGAACCTGAAAATGCCAGGGAGGTAAAGGAGAGAGAAAAGCTCTGGAAACAACCCCATAAAGTTGTTCATGAACTCCTGGGGTCCCCTCAGACCTGCATCCACATCAGTTTGGTTTTAATTAATTTATCAAAGACTTTGAGAACTGAGCTAATAGGTCAGTTCCAGACTGAATATTAAATGCTACATTCACAGTTCAGACCTAAATAGGATTACAGAGGCTAAAATGTTGGTTGTTTTAGAGATTCCCAAGATTATCTACACTTTCACTAATTCACAAGACTCAGAATATAATCACACTCACAAGTAAGATTAAGGCAACATGGGTACATAGCTCCATGAGAAGGGAAGAAGGAGGTAGAATGTAGAGAATTCCACATGTGAACTTCCCACGTTCTCCTTTCTGTGAGTGGTCACACCAAAGCACACACTTTTCCCAGCAGTAAAATGCAGTTACATATGTACAATGTTCCGGCCCAGGGAAGCACATTGGTACCCTACACCTGGCACCTACCAAACTTCCACAGTCACAGACGGAAAGCAGATGTTCACCATAAATCACATTGTTAATACATCTGTGGACAGCATATACCCTTATCAGTACAGAGAACTTTTAACAAGCTGAGTTCCTAGGCTCCAGCCAAGGGCCAGCCTTACAAACAAGTTATTCTAAAGATAACAATGCAGGCAAAAAGATAACTATTTTATTCATGTCAGTATTCTCCATAGTATATAAACAAGATCCAGAGTAAACATGAAAACCTCAACTCATTAGGGGAGACAGTCAACAGACACCAACAATGAAATGATGTAGATGTTAGAGTTGCCTGACAAGAACTTTATTTGCTTATTTATTTTTAATTTTTTTTGGTGCCTAAAAGAACTTTGAAGCAGCTGTTATAAAAATTCTGAAGTGAACAATCACAAAATCCTTGAAATAAATATTAGARCTGAAAAAGTCAGCAAAGAAATTATAAAAATGTAATTAAGAACCAAATAGAAGTTGCAGAGTTGAAAAATACAGTAACCAAAATCATTTGCCATATGGACTCAGAATCAAAGAATAACATCTTGAAAGCAACTAGAGAAAAGTGTTTTATCATACATAAGGAAATAGCAGCTCAAACGACTGCATATTGATTCTGTCAGAAAACTTGGAGGCCAGAAAGAAATGGCACAACTTTTTTGTGCTAAAAGGAAAGTTACAGATGAACTTTAAAATCTTTCTCCCTTTTCTTGTTTTTCTCCTGCATTTTTTCCAACTGCCTTTTTTATTTCCTTATTTTTAAAATTTAGCTAATAACTCCCATAAGGATTGTTTAGCATTTGGACCTAAAGAATTTACTAATCCCCATAGCAAAACCCTTACTAAACTACTTGTGTAATTCTAAGAAGTTATTTGAGCTATTCCTTTATTGTTAGATTTATGCCAACTTTCATTTACATGTATCAGTTGCTTTCTAATACTCAGGAATTGAGGAAAGAAAATTCATCAAGTGTCTTTATTCAGAATATAAATGTTTGTTCTGAGTAATCAAATATTGTGGTTTCCTAAAAGTTACTTAATTCTCTAAATAAATTATCAATTTTCAAATAACTGAGATACTGAGCTCAATATAATTACATAGAAATTAAATTCCAGAGGTTGAAAAAATTTTCAGGAAGTTTAAATATCTCACAATAAAGTCTAACAAGTAATAATTGTTATTCTAGCCTAGAGAGGTTAATCTAGCTTCTGTCTAATTCAATACCCAAAAAGTATATACTGAGTCCCAAAAGGTATTCAATTCCATTTTTGATTAGGATTTAAAATAAACTATATTATCTTTTTTCTTGCTGTTTTTCTGTGTATTTTAAGAAATTAAATGTATGAAAGTCTTTTTTATAAAATATTTGGGATAAAGAGGTATTGATTATAATGTTTCATTAATGTAGTTCATGATTATTACCTTCTATTCTGTTGGTGGAAGAAATTCSAACTTCCAGAATTGACTATAATCATGGACTGGCCCTTGTGTGTGATGCAAATGATCAGTTTTCATTGTATTGCTGTTGGTGTAGACCTTAGCTGATAGCCCTCCAGCTAACCTTGCTTAACTGCCAATGGGTATTCCTGAGAATTGAGAATGAACGGACTTGTACATAAAGCTACATTGCAACCACGAAGATCTTATTTATCTTAAGTAATATAATAATGATTATGTGCTGTTTCCAGTTTCCAACTAGTTGTATTATAACAATAGAGTGCCTTTGCCAAAAGTTTCTCTTGGTTGCTAGCATGTGATTTGTCATTAGCCTTTCCATCCAAAACATATCTTTACCCATTAGGTGCTTCCCTTGCCAGCTGTTGGAATGCTCTCATCAGCTTGCTTCTTGAGCTCATTTTCATTTCTTTCTTTGCCCTTTGATTTATTTTCCTTTTCCCTCAGCTCCTCCCCTGTTTTTATTCCATTTTCCTCTTATCAGTAACCAGGTCTATGACCAGTTTTCTTTTCAAACTAATGTCACAGATTTCTCAACACCATGTTTTAGATTGGAGCAAAATCATTAATTTATTGTAGTTGATATGAAGTAATCTTAAATGCCATTTGAATGAGTGCTATGTTAACAGGGTACCTAATGGCAGGTTGTTTACCATTTTTGAACTTATCTGGGCCCAATACTTTGCTTGATGTTCTACTTCATCCTTAGTTCGTAACTATGTTTCCTGTGTACATTTACACTTATTTGCTTTCTTAATGTGAAATACGTAATGGCTTTCCTTTGTCTTTTTACAGTCCAGAAATACTAAGTCGTTCACAAACTCAGACACTAGAAAGTTTGGAATTCATTCCACAGCATGTTGGTGCCTTCTCTGTGGAGAAATATGATGACATCAAGAAGTACTTAATAAAGGTAAACTGGAGTTTGAATTACATTGGTTTTGTGAATTAATAATGAAACTACAATAACATTATGCAAATATTAACCTAATACTGGTTTTACTTTCTGAGTATTTCTTTTGCAAATTCTCTTGAGTACTAAGATCACATTTCTACATGAAGATTATCCCATTATTAGGATAAGACTTTTTGAGTTTTGTAAGGTATTTGAGATAGTTCTTGAAAACTTAAGACAAGAATTTAAAGTGGCTTTTTGTTACTAATATTAGCAAACTAGAGATCATATATAAAGTACACTGTCCTCACCCTCTAAAATACTCTTTACTTCTTTCTCAACCGTGTAAGATCAGCTAGAGTTCAAAGTATGATAAGCATTGGTAGGGGGTGCAGGAAGGAAATACATATTAAAGACGTTAAAAGCATTCTTTGATTAAGAAGATTAGGAACTCTAATCACCATTTTTCTACTCCCTAGTTCTGTGACTTCAACACATTTGGGTTTCACATATGAGTGAGAACATGTGGTATTTGTCTTTATTGGGGTGGGGGTACTAGGGATTTAATCCAGGGGTACTTAATCACCGAGTCATATCCCCAGCCCTCTTTTATTTTCTGCTTTGAGASAGGACCTCGATAAGTTGCTGAGGCTGGCTTTGAACTTGCAACCTTCCTCCTCAGCTTCTGAGTTGCTGGGATTATAGGCGTGTACCCCCAGCTAGTTTATTTCTCTAAATATTGTGATCTTCAAGTTCATTCATATTGCTACAAATGACAGAATTTTGTACTTTTTTATGACTTAGTTTTTTTCATTGTGGATGAGTAAGGGATAGTGTTCTGTTACACAGAGGGCAAATATGCTTAACAGGATTGTATCAAATAGTTGCAAATAGCTGGAGAGAGGATTTTGATTGTTCTCATCACAAAGAAATGATAAATGTTGGAGATGATGGATAACCTCAGTATCCTCAGTTTATCAATATGCAGTGTGTAAACATACCCCACAAAAGCATACTGTTCCCTACACAGGTGTGCAGTTAGTATCTATCATTTAAAAAAGAAGAGAAAAGATTAGAAACTCCAGCTCTGTATAATTTGGATAGACTTAATACTTTCAGAAAAGTTAAAGTATTTGAATTTTCCTGATCTAAAAAATGACTCCTGACATTTTGAAAATTGTTTGCTGTTTATGAAATTGCTTATTATTTACTCTTTATGAATTGCTTGTTATTGATTGATCTTGTTATTAATGTGTGTTGACTGACTTCTTTGGTTCTTTTCCTGCTCAGGCCTGTGACACTCCTCTGCACCCTCTGGGCAGGCTTGTGGAGACACTGGTTGCAGTATATAGAATGACATATGTGGGCGTKGGAGCCAACCGCCGATTATTACAGGAGGCTGTAAAGGAGATTAAGTCCTATCTTAAGCGAATCTTCCAGCTGGTGAGGTAAAAGATCTGTTCATTGAAGTCTGAAAGTTAGAGAGTAGTAATGTATATTAATGCCTGGGTATCTTCACCCTAAATCTAGACATTACAACTTTGTGAAGAATAATAAATGGAAATTATTCATTTATCTTGGAAATTATTCATCAAAAAAATGATTTTATGCCATAGGTCCTTAAATAGATTAAATAATGAGTTGGGCACAGTGGCACTGCTTGGAAAGCTCACAAGTTTAATAAAGCCAGCCTGGGCAACTTAGCAAGACCATGTCTCAAAATAAAATGAAAAGGGCTGAGAATATAGCCCAGTGGTAGAGTGCTTGCTTAACAAATGTAAAGTCCTGGGTTCAACTCCCAGTATGTCAAAAAAGATTTTTCAAAAAAATTTGTTTATTCTATAAACAATAAAAAAGTATGAACCTTAGCCATTGTTACTTATTTCCTTTTATGTTTTCTTGCTTATTAAGTGTTTCAGAAGGTTAAAATAAATATTTGTCTGTTTCCAATTCTAGTTGGTATGAAATGTAGTTGTCTTCTTATTTGTATTTAAGTTCTAAACATGCYTCTAAAACCTAACCACAAAATGGATGAGGTTTGACATAAATTTTTGTGCCTGATTATTATTAACATATATGATGCCTGTCCGTTGACAATGGCATCATATATATTAATTTTTTCAACAAATAATCTGTTGAGTATTTCTGTATGTTACTGACCATTCTCTGCTTTGGGGGGAATTTATCAGTGAACATGAAAAAAAAAATCAAAACAAAACAAAAATAAACTGCTCTATGCAAATAAAAAACATGGGATATTGGGGTGATTAGCACTTTAGAGAAAAATAAGGAAGGGAATGAGATGGCTAGAGATAAGATGCTGCTATGTTAATAGAAGGTCAGGGAAGCCTAACTAGTCAGGTAATATTTGAACAGAGACTTTGAACAAGGTAAGAAAGTGTTTCAGGTTTTGAGGGAACAGTCTGTCCCACTTAAAAGGTAACTGAGTTGGAACGGGTATAATGGAATGTGCCTTATAATCCCATCAGCTGAGGAGGACAAGGCAGGAGAACCACAAGTTTGAAGCCAGGTTTGTCAATTTAGCAAGACCTCGTCTCAAAAAGTAGAAAGGGCTGGGGATGTAGCTCAGTGTAGAGCACCTCTGGATTGCTCCAGTRAACTACCCCCATCCCACCCTCCAAWCCCATMGMCAAAATCACTGAGCTGGAAGTGTTTCAGATGACATTAAGTAGATGTGAATAATAAAGATAAATTTCATGACATTTATTAGTTTCCCAACTATAAAATTTGGGCAGAGGAAGAGGCAAGGTATAAAAGTCTACACAAATAGAAATTATCAGGTACTTTTGAAGGGTGGAGATTTAAGTCTATAAAAATAAAGAGGACAATAAACTTATTTATGGTAGAGGCCACAGGCATACGAGAAGTTAGATAAATCTAGGGGGAAAGTCTCCAGAAAACCTAGGGAAAAAAACAAACTCAATAATTTAGTCTCTTGGTCATTTGAAAATTARCTTTCAGCATCTTCACTTTCAAAATTTACCTTAATTTTGAACAGATAAGTAATATCCACTAGTATTTGCATGTACTCTAAGGATAATGATTTCTGGTCAAAGTTAGTACATAATAACCTCAGATAAGCTTTGCCAAAAGAAATACATACCTTGTATAGATCATAAATTTTCATTTCTTAGTAATTAAGCAGGATAAAAGCACAGCAAATAAAAGTTTTAAAATATTATTAAGTAACTGCACTGTTTAGAGATTTAATTCAGATGTACTTTACCACTGAGCTATATCTGYAGCCATTTTTGTTTTTTATTTTGAGACAAAGTCTCATTAAGTTGCTGAGGGCCTTGCTAAATTGCCGAGGCTGGCTTTGAACCTGTGATCCTCCTGCCTTGGCTTCCCTAAACGGCTGGGATTATAGGTGTGCACCATTATGTCAGACACTAGCTGCACTCTGTTTTATTCTGTAGGAAGCATCAGTTAAGAACCTCAAAGAAGTAAAATACTTACTTGATGATAGAGTTTGATTTTATAGGCCTTGAAATGGATTAACTAATGGAAATGTATTTTTACTCTTTGCAGCCACTCAGAGTACAGTTATATTTATTATTCTTTCTTAGGTTCTTATTTCCTGAACTTCCAGAAGAGGGCAGCACAATTCCTCTCTCTGTACCTCTGCCGTCAGAAAGGAAGTCATTTTGCACAGGAAAGTCGGATTCCAGATCTGAATCACCAGAGCCAGGGTAAATGCAGTTGGGTGAGATAGTGAAGACAGGGTGTGAGAGCTAGATGATCTTATCCAGAGATTCCTAGATCAGTTTCTTCATTTTTACAATGACGTGATTAGGTTAGGAGATCTCTAATAGAACTAAAGACCTTAGGTTCCCCTAAGGTCTTTAGTTCTATTAGCATACCCCAGGAACGAGCAACCACAAATAATACTTACCAAGAATAATCCCAAAGAAAGCAGCCTCAAAGTATAAACATAGTGGATTTTCAGTTAGATTTTGAGTTATTGAATAGAATTCTTAATTGGACCAAGATGAAGCTCTGGGGCCATAGATGAGTTCCTTCTGTCAATTCTGTATATAAAGAGGAGAGTAGCATTATAATTTCCTTAAAATTTTCCATTCATACTTTTTGACTTTTAGAAACTGCAACTCTCTTTGATTCTATATTTGGTTCTAATATTGTTAGTTACGTTGTAACAAGTTCTGGATTACTGCTTCCTGTGCTGCTCCCCCGCCTCTACCCACCTCTGTTCATGCTTTATGCTTTGGACAATGATCGAGAGGAAGACATTTACTGGGAATGTGTTCTGCGACTAAACAAGCAGCCAGATATTGCTCTCCTGGGCTTTCTTGGAGTACAGAGGTAAGGACAACAGTTATGAATAGAACCAAAATGTTTTAATTGAAGCTCTATCATGTTTATAAGGAGTCTGGTACTTCAATATCTAGTTTTACATATATATGACTTGTAGTTTATGTACTTATTTGTATATCTTATTTAGCAATATAGTGATATTTAATATTTCTTATTTCTGAGAGTATTTGGAGATGAGTATGAAACTGCTTATTATCAATGTGATTTTTATTATGTATATATAGGTTAAATATCAGTTATCTTGCTATTTTGTACTTCTTTGAAACAAAATACTTTTTTGGTACCAGGGATTGAACCCAAGGGTACTTCCCCATTGAGTCACATCCCCAGCTCCTCCCAACTCTTTTAAATATATTTTATTTAGAGACAGGTTCTCACTGAGTTGCTTAGATACTCGCTAAATTACTGAGGCTAGCTTTGATCCTCCTGCCTCACCAGCCAGGATTACAGGTGTGCACCCTACACCTAGCTCAAAAACATTTTATATTCATATTCCTCAGAAATAAAAGTAATTGTATTCAGTCTTTGGCATTCTTCCTTTTTTTCCCTTCTGCAATTTGTAATTTAATATTCTGGATATACTTAAAGAAACTTCTGCTGGTCCAGGGGAATGCTAAATAATAATCATTGACTTTTTTCTCCTGTAGTGATAAAGCTGATCTCTTACCTGTTTCATGATTATATATTGTGCTATCAAAAAAAGTGAATGAATGAACTTTAATTGTATAGTTTTCAACATCCCCCCTCCCATAGTGCAATAACATAGTAATAAGTAAAAATTAGATGAAACTGAATGAAGGAAARATTTTGGCCAGTACCTATTAGTGCACAGGGTTGTTGAAGTATAGAGTTATAATTATAAATCCCGTAGAAATATAATAGAATCTTTTTTTTTTTTTTTTTTGGTGCCAAGGATTGAACCCAGGGGCACTTAACCACTGAGCTACATCCCCAGATTATTTTTTATTTTGAGACAGTTTTCTAAATTGCTGAGGCTAGCCTTGAACTTTTAATCCTCCTGCCTTAGCCTCCCAAGCTGCTGGTATAAGAGGAGAAATGCTGGGATAAAAGGCATGTGCCACCATGCCCAGCCCTTAGAAACTCTTAAATCACTTCTGGAATGTGTATTAACGCTTAGCCAATCGGCAGAAGTTATTTTTAACGAGAACCAGGAAGCTAATATAGCTGTCAACTGTTTTTATGGGGATTTTTCTATCATAGTAACTATATATWAATAATTTATGGATTTCATTCTAGGAAATTTTGGCCAGTGACCTTGTCAATCCTTGGAGAGAGTAAAAAGGTATAGTAGAATTTAGTTTCCTCTGTAAATATGTTTTTCTTTGCCATGAAGGATTCAMGATAGCAAAAAAAAAATTCCATTTTACTTGGATCCGTTACCCACCAGTGAGCTGCACTCTGCCATCAGCAGCACTTATTTTTGTTGAAAAAGACAGCTCTCCTCTCTGACCCTTGTTAATTCATTTTGTAGGTTTTGCCAACCACAAAAGATGCTTGCTTTGCCTCAGCAGTCGAGTGTCTGCAGCAGATCAGGTAATAAGYCTATGATTTATGGAGAAATCACACAAAGTAGTGGTTAGTTTATTAAGATATTATATTAAGATCTGGTCTTTGCTATATATCTATCTTTGAGAGGATATATTTTTGTTTTGTTTTGTTTCCCACAACAGCACAACATTTACCCCATCAGACAAACTTAAGGTTATCCAGCAGACTTTTGAGGAGATCTCTCAGAGTGTCCTGGCATCGCTGCAGGAAGACTTTTTGTGGTCCATGGATGACTTGTTCCCTGTTTTCTTATATGTGGTGCTACGGGCCAGGTAGCTTATCTTTTCTGATTTTATTACTATTAAATCATTATTTAACGAGTCTTTTTACTTTTGTTGAACTGATGCCAAGAATATGCTCTCTTACCAGGGGGAAAAACAATCCACTCTCTTAATCCATTTCACCATGACATTACCTTTTTTCCTTTTGTTATTGGGGTCCTGGGGGTTGAACACATGGCCTCATACTTGCTAGGCAAGTGTTCTACCACTGAGCTACATCCCCAGCCTTGGTATTACCTTTTTATTGAATTGTTCTTTCTCTTCCCATCCTAGATTAAAAAGGAAGATGGACTTGTAAGCAGAAATAACTTAGCATCTTTTTCTCTTTGGGACAGGATTAGGAATTTAGGCTCTGAGGTACATCTCATTGAGGATCTAATGGACCCCTATCTTCAGCATGGGGAACAGGGCATAATGTTCACCACCTTGAAGGTGAGTGTAGGTATTAGTTAATAATAAAAATTGTCCTTCATTTACTATATTATAAACCTGTCATTAACTGTTTTCTTCTTTATAGAAAATTTTTACTGTAAACATTAAATACCTTTAGAAAAGCACGTTATTGATATTTAAAAGCATGATAACATTTTGAAGAAAAGTAGGATTAGTCAGTTATTCTTCAAAATACTAAAGCAAATTATTCATTATCCAATGTTCTTTGTAAATTGAACATTTCAAGTGATCATAAATGCTTACATTTATATAAATAACTCTAGAAAAGAAGCAGAGAGGATTCTTAGTGTCCTAAAAAGTATCCAGCAGTAGAGCTATGTAATGAAACTAAGGAAAGACACAGAGGCAACATGAAAATAATGAATTTGAATTCCATCTTTTTCTTTCACTTGTATTTACTATAACCAATAGGTTACATGAGGCTCTCTGATCTGGATACCCTCTAGGGATTTATTAGAAGTAATTTTCACTTCCCACCTTGAATTTTTTCTTGGAATTTCGTAGAATTACTCTAAAGTTTATCAGAAGGGCAACAGACAGAATATCTTCAAAAGAAGAGGGAGGAAAAATAGATTCACTCTGTCAGTTAATGGAATATCATGAAATTATAATAATTCAGATGAAATAGTATGTTGCTGACATAGAAATAAATAATACCTAAGCAATAACCCCTGTATAGACAGCACTATAATAAAAATTTCTCATGAAAATAGAAGCATCAAAAATGGAAAAGGCAAATAAAAAATGGAAAAGAGAGGAATTATTTTAAATGATAAAGCTTATTAGCAGTTTGGGGGAAGGGTAGACTAGCAAGTTATAGATGCTTTGGGGTTTAAACAGAAAGGAAGAGAGAAGAAAAACAGGTAAATTGAAATGAGAAAAAAAACTAGAATGTTTATAATGTCAGATTTCTGACAACTTTTAAAACTTGTAATTAAAACCATTAACATTTCTATTAAACAGACTGAAAAAGGGGAGAAACTAGGAGACACTGGCTGCAAATTGCTTGCATTATTAGTATTTGTTACATGAAGAGTGCCTCTAAACAGAGAACAAGAGACTAAATGAGTGAGTTTAGATGTGGAAAAATGCTCAAACTTGCTGAAAATCTAAGTACTGCTGATTAAACAAGATATCATTTTGTGCTTGCTTAATTAGCAGAAATGTGTCAAAATTATGCCTAGTCCTGGTGGCTTTATAGTGAAATYATTTCCCACATTGACAGTGGGTAAATAGCTGTCATCCTTTGCTGTTATAATTACAATTGCTATAAATTGTTATTAACAGATATGTTGAATCTGACTGGGTAATCTTACTCCTAGGAATTTATCCTAAGGAGTTAAAAAAAGAAAATTGGTATATATTATCTGAACGTGGTGTTCTTTATAGTATGAATTATTCCCAGACCTAGGCACTTTCAGAAACATTGAGGATGTTTCTTTAAAAATAGATTCCTGAGAATTCTGGCTCACTAGATTTGCAATGATACTTAATCTCTGTTTGTTAAATGTCCCAGGTGTTTCTGATGACAGTTGTTCTAGTATACCTTTAAAAGATCAGTATATTTTGCTCAATCATAAATGGTTCATTATGGTATTTCTACTTGATGAAGAATATCATACATCTTGTAAGGAGTTTTTTTGTTTGTTTTAGAATTAGAGGAAAAAATGCAGAATTTTATCTGTATTAATAACAACTAGACAGGAAATAGCCATTGAATGGGGGACTTGACAGGAACAGGGAAAAGTGTAAGCAACTGAATTTATTTGGTCACTAGTTTTTAATAAAGGATTTTTCTTTCTTTGGTTACATATTCATTGCTTTATTTATGTAATTTCTTTAAAAGTAAATTTGAAAATTATTTTGAACTTTTTTCCAGGCATGTTACTACCAGATTCAGCGTGAGAAGCTTAACTAGGCTGCATAATAGCTTGAAAACTGGATTACCATCTACCAAGGGTCACAGCACCATCTGGAATCTTTGTAGTGGTGAAAAAGAATGGTGTTGAAAATTGAAAAGGACTGTGTTATTTTGGTTGTTATTTCAGAGCCTTACTAAAAACTAGAGCCCTGAGCTCAGGAAAAAAACAAAACAAAACAAAAAAGACTAGTTTACAGGGAGGATGGAAAAGAAGGTAGAAATCAATCAGACCAGTGCTTGGCCTGTGTTAAGTCCCAGAAATTTCATGCATCTATTTGGAAAAAAAGGATATCCCCTCCTGAAGTGAAGGGTATGTCAGCCACGTGGATTTGTAAGGCAAGTTCCCAGCATCGCTTCTTGCATTAAAGAAGTTAATGATGAATATTTTTGAGTTTCTGGTTTGCCTGAATCCATCTGCAGTTACCCCAGATCTCTTTGCAAGGAGCAGATTGTACTAAAAACTGTAGTAGCCACACCATGCCTTTTTAGATCCCTTCCAATCATGTGTGTGTTATGCTTCTTTGCTTGGAGAGGGGAAGGAGGAATTTTTGAACTGCAGTTTTAACTTTTTCTAAGCTTTTCCACCAGGATATTCATGATGGGAGAGATTCTATGTAGTGACTACCACATCCTGACCCAAGACACAGAATGAATCTAAATAGGAGCCTTCTGCCTGCTGAGTGAAAGGAACATAGGAATTTTGGTTTTGGTTTCCTCAATATGCTGCAGGAAGTTGAGTACACTGGAATTGAAGCACCACTCAGCTGCTGTGGAACCCTTATTTGTCTATGTGCAAATGCTGTATTCCGAGGCCTGTGACTGGCAGCCCGAAGAGCTTCTGCATACAAGCTGTTGTTTTGGAGCAGGACTGAAGTTTGGGAAATACAGAAGCAAAGAACTGCATTGATCCCCAACCTAGTGTTGTGGTTCTTCCCTATACCTCACACTGAACCCAAGATGGAAAGAAAAAGAATATAAGCTTTGACTGTTTCCATCTCTAAAGTATTGTGGCACCTCATCAGTTCAGTGTTTTCCTTTTTTAAAAAATGTCTTACTGTAAGTTTTTGGTTTACACTGTACCAGTAACACTAGTAGCTGTTTTGGATAACATAGGTGCTCTCCCTCATCTCATCTCCTACCCACTGCGGTGAACATATGGAGTGTCCTGATTTATGTGAAGTGACTCAAGCTGATGTTAATTACTTTTGAAATAGGATCATGGTTTCTGCTCTACTTTATAATCAAGACAAGTGTTTGTTAAAATACTGTTTTGGAATGTTGGCTTGTAATAGCGATTTTCATAATAAAAAACATTCATCTTTATGAGGTGGTTTATGATTACAGAAGAAATGACACAGGGCGCCTAAAAATTTAAAAGAAAGCCAGGCTTAAAATTTAAAAGAAACCCAGTATTTCCTCTGCCCACATTGTAATTTATGCCTTTTTGACCTCAGAGGAACTTCTAGGACTTTAGAGATCTCTCTCTTTAAACATAAACCAATAATTACAGCACCTTTGCTAGCAAAGAACAGATTAACTTTCTGATCCTAAAGATCCTGGGACAAGTCTTAAATCTAGTATTTCTTTGGGGAAAAATGATGTATTTGATAGTTACCCTAAATAGATTCATGGAAAGGGTAAGGAATAAAAGTTTGGTGAGAAACATTAGGCATCAGGTAATGATTAGTTGTAATGTTTTCTCAAGGAGCCTTTCCATTTCACCATGCCTTCTATTGGAATGTACACACTTGTAGTAGGAAAGGGACCGGTTCTTAAAGATTTGTGTATGTTAAACACTTTGCATTTCCACTGGGGATTGTTTTGTCTTTCTGAATAACCACACAAATGCCTCATTTGCTGATAAAGACAAATTATTGAATATCTAACTCATTAAGAGACAGGGATAATATGTGGAAATGGACAAAGGATGATAGGCTATCTCAGTTCTAAGAAAAACATGTTACAATYCATCCTTTTACTTGGAGTCTTGAATGAAACTATCCAAATACTTTAGATTCTTCATTGTATATTTTATTTTCAGATTGCATGTTAAAAGAGACCTGAATTTCCAGTTCTTGTGGGGGAAGCCCTAAATATCCGGGCCAGTATCTATAAATAGAAATACCTAGCATTCACGCAACAGTTGATGGTGATCTTTTACTTGTACCAATGCTCACAGCACCTCTTGGCTGCAGGTATCTGTGATTTGCTCACTTTTCAACAAGGAGTATATGATTTGCTCACTTCTGGAGCTGGTATCCCATCCTAAAACCCCTCCTGTAGTCCCAACGCATTTTCTGACTACAGCTGCCAGAGGTGGTGTTTCATAGCTGGGTTAGGCATTGGTAGTTCTCAAAAATAAAAAAAGTTAGTTGAAAATGAAAACTACATAAAAATTAAGTGCTTTTGATAAACCATTCTGTGCTCAAAACACAAATGTCTTACGTTCCCAGCTTGTATTTCCCTCTGCAGTGGAGAGATGAAGAAAACTATGTGTTTAATTAGGATAGCAGGGCTGGAAAACCTCTTAATAATTGCCATTTGCTCTTCACCCTTTCTTACGTTCTTTGTGTGATATCTTTGTCAAAGTGCTCTTTCCACTGACTATACCCTGTAATATAAATTTTCAAATACCAGAAATACAGTTGACCTCTATCTGTGGATCACTTCATGGAGTTGGCCATGGGTGGAAAATATTCAGGAAAAAACATTCCATCTGTACTGAACAGGTACAGATTTTGTGTTTCCTTGTCGTTATTTCCTAAACAATACAGTATAATAACCTCATAGCATTTGTGTTGTGTTGGATACTATAATAAACCTAGAGATGATTTACAGTAGTGCATAGGTTATGTGCAAGTACTGTGCTGTCTTATAAAAGGAACTTGAGCATCTGCAGACTTGCATATTAGCAGGCAGTCCCCCATGGATATTGCTGGGTTCCCTACTGTAGCTCCAATCTGAGAATCAAGCATGGGYGCGCTAATTGTTACAGACCGGAAGGGGCTGTTTTTGATGGTGCTCTCTCTTTATTACTGGCAGAAGAGCCCCATTGTTTTCCCACCAGAACATGAGAAAATAAGGTTAATGGGGTTAGTTTACTCCAGGTGCCTACAGGGTTTTTGCTCCCCCCCCCCATTAAAATAAAAAATGCCACCTTCTGTTGTAGATTGTTATTCTGAAATAGTTAACAAAAATTGTGTGTGTGTGTGTTAACTTGTGACAATGTAAGAAAATACTAGGTAAAGGTTGAAAATTATATAAATTAGATGTTTAGTCTAAGGAATATTTTAAGATTTGTGGCAGGGGAAGCTTATGAGTTCATGGTTAGGCTAGGTTAGGTCTGTGTGTGGATTAAATCAAAGAGGATGTGCAGAGGTTTTATTTAGAGCAGTGAGGTGACTTTGGCAGCTAATAGCCCATAGTATTTTCCACCCAAGGTTTTGTCTGCATAGGAGCAACATTGCATGTTCAGTCTTACAGGTAAGATACTACAAATAATCCTCAGTTACCAGAGATCCCTCCTATAACTGTCTAGCATGTCTGTCCTTTTTAATAGCTAAAATATCATTCTGGATAATCTAATTCAAATAGTTGAATTTCAGAGCAACTCAAATATGGAGAATTCTATGACTTTGGAAGAAGAGGTTCTGCTTTGAGAAACCATTTCTTTAAATATGGAATAATGGACTGTCATGGAGTTTGAGTAAAACTGAGCATTTATCCCAGTCCTATACAGTAGCATTTTGGAAGCCAGTCGTTATCATAGGGACCATTTCTCATTAAGTCTTCAAGTGTTTTTTTTTTTTTTTTTCAGTGTTTGTCAGCTAAAAAGCATTATTTTTAAAAATAGGATAAAAGGGGTAATAGGTTGGATCATTGAATAGTAGTTAGTGCATTTTAGAAAGCTAATAGAAATAATTTTAAAATAATATTTAAGACAAATGCCTTAGGAGTCAGCGACAGTACTGCAGCTTCTAAATCCATGACAAGAGAACTGGTTATTCATGTGTTACTTAATCACCCAGAATTGCAAGTGGCTGGGGCTACTATTTTTTTTTTTTTTAAAGTCAGTGTCCTTATCTGGAAATAAAAGTGTTGTATTTTATTTTCTCTAAGATGCCCATTGGCCCAGTTTTTGAAGTCTGATAGGACAAAAGGTTAAGGTCAGTATATCCAGGCACTTGCCTTGTCAGCTGCTGCCTCACAGCTCAGAATACATTTATATCAGAAATCAGTCTCCAGTGCCCTTGTCTACTGAATGAGTAGGCCTCATTCAGTGTGTTATCATTTAGGCATTAAATATGGAAGAAATGTGGTCCATCTTGTGTGCAAACAACATTGGCTTATTTAATCTGTGCTGTTTTACCAAGGACAATGATTTGTGGGACATGCTGGGCTAACAGGTTTTAAGAGGTTGCCTGGTGTCAGCCCCATCTGTCTGCTCTGACTTTTGCCTATCTGTCAGGCCCTCCCTTTCCCTTTCCAATATACCTACTCTGGATTTTTGGGAAAAAAAAAAAAAAAAAAAAAAGCAGAACATGGGAAAAGGCCCAGTTTAACCTGGCTGGGCTGGATCTAGAGTGGAGTGGGCAAAGGAAAGGCACAACAATGTCAGGTTTTGGTGAAATCTAGTAAAATACTTCAGTGTGACTGGAGAAGAATGTGTATAGGAAAGCAGCTGAAAATTCTGTGCAAATTTCTGAGCTGTTCCCACTGCTGTAGAATTTAGAGACAATGTAATAATGATCTCTTTTTATCTTTTAGATTTCCTGCTCAACCCCATAATTGATTTAGTATCTAGACAGTGGTTTGTGGCCCAATCAGATTCAATACCCCAGTCTTAAACAACTAATTTTAAATGCTGCTGCTTTTTTTTTAATATTTATTCTTAAGTTTTAGATGGACACAATATCTTTATTTTACATTTATGTGGTGCTGAGGATCCAACCTAGTGCCTCTTGCATGCTAGGTGAGCGCTCTACCACTGAGCCACAACCCCAGACCCTTAAATGCTTCTTTTAGAAAATCSTAATTTATTCTTTTTTATCCTACTATAAGAAATATTATCATTGCCCTACCCACATATATCACCTCGATGCTTTCCATTCTGGTGTACTCTGTCTGGGCCAACTGCTAGCACCTATCCTTGCTATCTGAAAGTCCACCTGGAGCAGGCTGGAAAGGTCAGAAGAAATGCTCTCAGGAATGGCCCTCAACCAAGGACCTGCAGCAACATTGGTATTTAAACCTCCATTCCCGTGTTCCTTCTTACCCCATGGGATTACCATCCAATTGCCACTCACAGTATTTACTCACTTGATCACACTTTTAATGACTTGTTTTTCTTCCCTGCCTTTATACCCTACTCCTCCATGGGAATTTCCTGGGGTCCCTTTATAAATACATTATCTACCCTATAGTCCTTGCTCATTGATCTGGGGGAACTCAACCAACATACCTACTTATGAGTTTTGAAAAAAATTGCATATAATTCCCTAATAATAATTAAAAGGATAGTTGATCAAGCTGGGAATGGTGGAACAGACCTGTAATCCCAGCAACTCTGGAGGCTGAGGCAGGAAGATCACAAATTCAAAGCCAGCCTCAGCAAATTAGTGAGCCCTAAGTAACGCACCGAGACACTGTCTCAAAATAAATAAAAAGGGTTGGGAATAGCTCAGTGGTTAAAGTGTTCCTGGGTTTAATCCCAGTACTCTTCCACAAAAAAAAAAAAAAAAAAAAGAATTGATCATAAGACATTGTATATTTCAATATGTAAATATGTGACTTCTCTACATCAAAAGTTAAAAGAAACTTACAAATGTTTGAACATACACAAAAATCTCCTCAAGGGATTTGGCAGTTTTGAATACAGGCACAGATGCAGCCTAATACTGATAGGCTGTAGTGATTTCCTGGGTACCACACGCAGCATTACCATTAGTGACATGATTTTCTGAATTGGTGGACAGCTTGGTAAAGTTTAAAGCAAAACCAAGTAAATTCATTCCTCAAAATATGGTGGTACCACTCCATCCAATCAATATGCAAAATCTTTTGTACTTACATGTAATAAAAAGTTGGGTTCTAGATTCAGATAATTATAGTTCTTTTTGTTTTTTCCAGTAGGACATTTGAAAATTCCATAGGGCCTAAGATGATTCCCTGTTATGTAGGGCAATTTCTAAGAAATTTTCTTGAAGAGCAGTATGCACATTCCCTCTGTCTTTGTTTTCCTAATCCTTTCCAGTCCTGCTGGCTGAAATGTAGACTTGATGGCTGGGGCTTCAGCCACCATGTTGGAGCCCGTAGATGAGAACAATGTCACACCTAGGGTGGGGATTGGGAGCTGGAAGTAACCTGTTCCCTAAGGACTTTGTGGAGCTAGACTGCCCTGCCAATCCTGGATTGTCTCTGCCTCTGAACTCACTTTGTGTTTCTCTTTCTCAAAACCAAACCCACCTAAAGCAATATAGAAAATAAGCATTAAAATAAGCATTTCAAGTAAGTTGTTAAAGATTAGTATTGAATCTGGTAGGGCTCTCTAGAATTTAGATAGATCGTGGAGTTGAGTCAGGAAGGTTATAGGAAAAAAAATCATTATCATGTTGTTTGTAAATTCTAAGAGTCTGCCTCAGCAGCAATCCATCACACATGGATTCAGTTAAGTCTTCTAACAGCAATTGTACAATTGTGACTAGTTATTTTTATTTTTTATTTTTTATGAAGAACCGTAAGGTGCACATACAAGCAGTCAGGCCAGCGGAGACCCTTTTGAGCTTTGAAAGATAGGTAAAATTAATGAGGCAAATCAGTGGAAGATATATATAACATTGTAACTTGCTTTTAAAAARCAGAGGGATAGTGGGAGTACTTTTTGAAATAGTAGTTTTCTCCTTCCCACTRCTGGTGATGGTTAATTTGCTATGGGGCAAGACTAGGTTTTATTTACTTATTTATTAGTAATTTTTCTTTGTTCTTTTTTTTAAAAGTTTTTTTTAAGAGAGAGAGAATTTTTAATATTTATTTTTCAGTCCTCGGCAGACACAACATCCCTGTTTGTATGTAGTGCTGAGGATTGAACCTGGGCCGCATGCATGCCAGGCTAGCGCGCTACCGCTTGAGCCACATCCCCAGCCCCTCTTTGTTCTTTTTAGATATCCATGACAGTAGAGTGTATTCTGATGTATTATATATATATGGAGTATAACTTATTCTAATTAGGATCTCATTCTTGTGGTTGTACGTGATGTGGAGTTAACTGTTCATGTATTCATATATGAACATAGGAAAGTTATGTCCAATTCATTCCACTGTCTTTAAGACTGCATTTTATTTGATGTGTACCTCAGTGTGTGGCACAATGCCTAGTGTGCTTTATAAATGCCGTTGAAAATATATTTCTGCAGGCTGAGTGTGTGGCCAGTGTGATTGCATGAACTCTGAGTTGTTTATGATCTGCTTCCTAGGTCCCACCTCCCTTTGGAAGCTCTGGCAGGGAGGATGATACAGTCAGACAAAGGAGGAGATCCTCCAGACAGGGACAGGAAGCTCTCTACTGCAACCCAGCCACGGAATGGTACGTGTCACCAAGGTTCCCTTGAAATCAGAAAGAATGATATCACTCTAGATACGCAGTCTAGGCATGGAATGAAATTCTAACACATTTACTGTCACCCCAACCAGGGACTTGCTATACACTTTTGATCACCCTACTACAACTGCTAGTGACARATTGGAAACAGTTTTCAAGGCAGAAAGGAAAGAAAACTGACAGTAGATTCAGACCTTCCTACCTCCCCCATTCCCACAATGCTTTATGTAAAACTGAGAACTGCACGACTTGTTCACATTCAAAATATCACTTAAAAAAGAATTTTTATAAATATACTTGTGGGGGAAAAAATCAAGCATTCACTGAAACCTACTTAATATCCTTTTACCCAGCAGACTACTGAAATTTGTATTAAAACCCTATTGTGAGTTAAATGTTTTTCAGTAACACTTTCCATAAGAATTTTCAGAAAGGATAAAAACAAATGACTCCATATTTGGATGTGAGAAAGAGGATCCAGGAAACAGATAATTTTGGATAAACCACAGACTAGTAAGATGGAGGAGGGGGAAGCTCTTATGATATCTTACTTCTGAATATTATGATCTGTTTCATCTAGGGTTAGCCACAACCCTGTAAGAAATCCAGCATATTCTCATTTAGCCACAAAGAAACTGGTCTCCAGATGGTCATGGGACTTTCTGAAGTTGGCCAGCTRCCTTTCATATATATAGCGGCTTTTCTACCTTCCCCACCCCATCAGTCTCTGTCCTCTCCCTTTTCTAGGCCTCTCCCAAATCCTGAGGCATGTGCTGCAGGAGCTGAGCCTGTTCTACAGCCGAGATGTGAAYGGAGTGTGCCTCCTCTATGATCTCCTGCACTCCCCGTGGCTGCGGGCCCTGCTAAAGGTGAGCACTCTGTGGCTTGCAGCTCTTTGCTAACTGGCTGGTTAAAAACTACTCCCTTAGTCCATTCAGGCTCTGTAACAAAATGCCACAGACTGGATAGCTTATAAACAGGAAACCTATTTATGATAGATTTGGAAACTGGGAAGTCTAAGATCAAAGGCGCTGGCAGATTTCATGTCCCATGAAGACCCACTTTTTGATTCACAGAAGGCCATCTTTTTACTGTGACCTCATATGGTGGAATAGGTGAGGGATCTCCCCAGCCTCTTTTATGAGGATGCTAATCCCATTCTTGAGGGTGCAGCCCTCATGACCTCATCCCCTCCCAAGGGCACCACCTCCTAATAGCATCGCCCTGGGGTGAAGATTGCAACCTACGAATTTGGGGCCGGGGGCCACTTTCAGACCATAGCAGCTGCTTACCCAGTGGTATTACTTGTTACCTGGCAGGAAATTTCAACATGGAAAAAGTTCTTAGAAGGCCATCCTCAGAGAAGACCCACACACACCTCTTAGCTTTGAAAGGAATTGACATAGGTGGAAAAGAATATGGCAGCTCCTTTCTTTTCTACCCCTGAGTTACTCAGCTTTGTGCCACTGTGACAAGATACCTGAGAGGAATCAGCTTAAAGGAGGAATTATTTATTTTGGCTTATTTCAGAGGTTTCAGTCCACAGTCACTTGGCTGTGAGGCAGAACATTGTGGATGAATCCACTGTTGGGGTTGGAGCCCTTGTGATCCAGTCTCCTCTGCCTGTTGACACTACTGCCCTGGGGACCAAGCCTTCAGCACATGAGCTGAAGATCAAGTCATAACAGATCCAAGTCATAACAGCCTGTAATTCTTTTTCTTGCAGAGAGCCCTAGAATCACAAAGCTGCCACAATGGCTATCAGCAGCATCTTATCAGCTATTCTATAATTATTATAATCATTTGTTCTTGAGGCCAATCCTGGAAAAAAATACACACACACATGCATATATATATATATATATATATCTTTAAAAAATTATTTCTCTTTGTTAAAATCAGGAAATAAGACATCCATGTTCTGTTTGGGTATCTTAACATTTTCTCATCCCTAGGTTTCTTCTTTTTTAGGGTTGGGGGGTTCCAGAGATTGAACCTAGGGGCACTCAACCACCGAGCAACATCCCTAGCCTTTTTTTTTTTTTTATAATTCTTTTAGGTTTATCTTTTAAATTTTTTGAGAGAGAGAGAGAGAGAGAGAGAGAGAGAGAGAGAGAATTTATTTATTTATTTATCTTAGTTCTCGGCGGACACAACATCTTTGTTGGTATGTGGTGCTGAGGATCGAACCCGGGCCGCACACATGCCAGGCGAGCGTGCTACCGCTTGAGCCACACCCCCAGCCCTTCTCTTTTAATTTGATTAAAACTTCATGCATTATTCAAGAATCAATACTACTATAATTTTGTTTTTCTGAACAAATCTTATTATTAAGAAAARTCTTGAAGTCATTTTTGTGTGGGTGTTTCTCTTAAGTGTGGGTTGTGGTCCATCTTAGAATGCGTGCTAATATTATGTTGTTTAAAACTTGAAAAGGCAACATCTTCAACATGAACACTTCGCTTGTTCCAAAGCACTTGGTATCTATCGGACCTCCCCACCCAAAAGAGGGGAGTTTGGGTTTCCTTATGGGCATTGTCCTTGCTCCCCACTAGCAGGCTGTTTGTGCTTTGTGCTCTTGCATTGATCCATCAACTTGGATCATTTCCAGGTACACTGAATGCTGGTCCCTAGGGAAAGTTCAAGCAGCAGTAACACCACAGACTTGGTGGAAAAGACTGGGCTAAGCTGGCCCATTGGGCCTTGCTTCTCTATAAGAAAAGCTTAATTCCTGAAATAAAATTAAGGACTGCACTGTGGAGCTAGGGTTTAGTATACTCAGCCTGATCCTACATCCTGGTTCAGAAAAAAATTTCTAGGGACCCACAGAGATGTGATTGGAATTTTTATAAATAAAGTTGTATTGGAAAATTAAGGGAGGGATGTGAAACAGACAGCCCTAAAGATCAGAGCAGAGGACAGATAAGCATAGTGTTCCTGGTGGGTCTCTTCTTCAGGACATGGGTTGGCCCAAAGCCACACGGTTTCCCTGCGCAGAGATCTTCATGGGTCTCTATTCTCACAGAGTCCCTTCCTTGAGACACCCCTGTGTGCATCATCTACCAATCCCTATTGGTCTCAGCATTGGAAAATTTAATCAGTGTAAAAAGGGTCAAGTTTGGCTGGGTTTTTTTTTCAATAAAATTTCTTGGAAATTCAGTGACTCATGGTAGCCAATAATTAAGACACTGAACCCAGGACTTGAGTTCATTTCTCTTTTGCARTTAGAGACACACCTTATTAAAGGCCAACTCACATCCTGCTATTCAGCTGCTTGGACAGTTTCCCAGGTTGTTTCTTCCCTTTGAGAGTCTTAAATCCAGAATGTTAATAGTCATGTATGTTATTAACATCAATTCTCCACCCTCACCCATCTGCAGGTTTATGACTGCCTCCAAGAATTTAAAGAAAAGAAACTAGTTCCCGCCACACCCCATGCACAGAAGTTATCCTGTGAGGTAAGGGGATTTCACTCCCGAACTCTGACTTTTCCTCTAGTGCTTTAAAATTTTTTTTTAGATGTTGATGGGCCTGTATTTTGTTCATTTATTTATATACAGTGCTTAGAATCAAACCCAGTACCTCACACATGCTAGGCAAGTACTCTACCACTGAGCTGCAACCCCAGCCCTTCCTCTAGTGCTTTTTTTTTAAGTGAATTAAAGATCTACTGGAAAAGTTTGAGAGATGATCATGCATCTTAATAAGTGGGTTTTTTTTTTTTTTGGAATAGAGATTGAATCCAATGGCATTTAACCACTGAACCACATCCCCCTGCCCTTTTTATTTTTATTTATGTTTTTAAAGCCTTTTTAAATTTATTTTTTTCAAATTATTGATAGATCTTTATTTTATTTACTTRTTTATATGTGGTGCTGAGAATCGAACCCAGTGCCTCACACATGCCAGGCAAGTGCATTACTATTGAGCCACAGCCCCAGCCCCCACCCATCACCCTTTTTAATATTTCATTAGAGACAGGGTTTTGCTGAGTTGCTAAGGGTCTTGCTATTTGCTGAGGTTGGCTTTGAACTCATGATCCTCTTGCCTCAGCCTTCCAAGTCGCTGGGATTACAGGCATATGCCACTGTGCCTGGTTTTAATAAATGTTTTTAATTGAMCTTTGTTATAGTTATACGTGACAGTAGAATTCATTTTGATAAAATTATACATGCATAAATTATATCTTATTCTAATTAGGACCCTGTTCTTGAGGATGTACACAATGGTGGGATTCACTTGGGTTTTTTCATTTCACCATCTTTCCTATTCCTATCTCCTCTCCTTTTTAATTGAGTTTTTTTTTTTTTAAATATTTATTTATTTATTTATTTTAGTTTTCGGTGGACACAACATCTTTGTTTGTATGTGGCGCTGAGGATCGAACCCGGGCCGCACGCATGCCAGGCAAGCGTGCTACTGCTTGAGCCACATCCCCAGCCCATAATTGAGTTTTAATGAAGGAAATTATCTGGATATTTCCCCAAATTAAACACCCCTACATTCTTARCATGTATCCATCATTTCTCTCTTTCCCCCTAAACTTTAAACTCAATTTACCTCATATAAATGGAATAATATTACACTAACGATTCTCCAATTTCTCTCTCTAACCTGGACCCTTTCTCTGAACTACAGTCTCAACTACCCAACTGTCTCCYCCCCATATGATGAGGCTGTTTAATGTGCACTTCAACCTTAAAGTGTCCTTAACTGAACTCCTGCTCACTCTGCCTCCGCACTCCTCTTATAGCCTTCTCTTATTCAGTTAATGACATCTCTGTTCTTCAGTGCTTAGGCCAAAATCTGCGGGGTCATCTTTGACTCTCTCTTTCTTTCAAACTCATTCCCAATCTGCTGGCAAATTTTATCAGCTCCACTTTCAAAAAACATCTGGAATCTCATCACCCCTGTGCCACCTAATATAAGCTGTGATAACTGCAGTGTAGCTTCCTACCTCTTTCCCTGGCTCTACCCTTGCCCCCTGTAGCCTGTTCCCCACACAGCAGCTCTTTGGTTGCTCTTGAATCACCTCTTTAATTTCCTCTTTAATCACCTCTCTGCTCAAATCCTCATGACTTCCCATCTCAAATGCCAAAGTTCTTACATAGCTGAATATAATTGAGCTGCCATGGGCTTTTGACTCTGAGTTTACTATTCCCCACCTGCTCGCTCTGCTCCAGCCATATTGGCCCCTTGTGGAGGTTTGAATTAATCAGACACTTGCTTTTCCCTGTTTCAGTCATGCTTTGGTCCATCTACCATGATTTGATCACTCATCTCCACTCAAATACCACTTCTCAGTGACACTTTTCCTGATAATCTTCCTACATCTGCATGCCCTCCTCCTAGCATCTCCTAGCCAATTTCCCTGGTTTTTTTGTTGTTGTTGTTGTTCTTAACTCTTCTCATCACCAAACAAAATTATTTATTTTACACATGTATTTGTGTATATGTGTGTGTGTGTGTGTGTGTGTGTATGTGTGTGTGTGTGTGTGTGTGTGTATGGGGGGAAGGAGAGACCATTTCTCCTCACTAGTATATAAACTCCATGAGAATGGGGATTTTTGTCCACCTCTTTACCACTATTTTCACATCACCTAAAACGGTATCCAAAAATATTTGTGGAATGGATAAATAAGTGAAATCCCTGTTATTATTATTGTCCAAATTATATTAAAATATGTAGAAAAAATTTAAAAACTATACCTTCAATTCCAATAATTAACAACTCAAATTTTCCTCATTTGTTAACAAAAAAATACACTCATGATATTTCATTCAGTTGTAGTCCTACTGAAAGRGGATAAAGTTTTGTAAGCCACTTGTTTTCATTTGTCTGTATGTACAATGTCTGACTGCCAAAGATTCATGGGGCTGACTAAAGYCTTGAAAGAGCTTGTGTCCTCTAAAAGCAGTTCTGCATTTAAACTGCAGCAAAGATATCAGAATCAATTTTGTTTAGCATTTTTATATTACAACAATCATGAAAATTACTATCAAATAGTTTACCCTGAAATATAAATTAATATTCCCATTTTCTGTTTGAAGAGTGGAGAACTCCATGGGTTGAACTTCCCAAGTTCTTCTGTTCACCCTAAATGCAGCTTCATCTGCCCTTGAAGCATTGACATTGGCAAACAGTGACTTTAGAACCACTAGAGGGCTCTTGTCTTGGTCCACGTGCTATTAGAAAATCCATATGTTCTTCCTCCAGTGCTATAATGTGCCAGGCCTGGGATTGGGGTTTAGATCCACCCCCAATTTTGAATTACCTGCTCTAGTGAAGTTTAATGACTAAGGAAGGGCTGCTAGGCTCTGATTTTAAAGATGAAAAAGGAGGCTCTAATAACAGCTTTTCTTAGGTCAATTTCATGTTAGTCAGTGTAGCTGTTATCTAGACTGGGTGGAATTGACTAGGTGGTGAAAGTTTTTAAGAATTTATAACTTGTGCTTTTCCATGAACCAGGTAATAGAGCTGTTACGTGATGTCCCTAATTCTCCTGAGGTCCAGGAGCTGAGAAAGCTCCTTCAGGCTCCACACTATAAGGCAAGTACTTGCTAAAATAGATAAGGTATGGCAACTGGCACACATTCAAAACTGGAAAGAATGAGTACATGGAGTAGAAAATGTGCTCTCTGAATGGATGTTCTGTTACTGTACATGAGCGACCAACAGATTGTACCTTGAAGTTGTGGGATTCAGTATTGCCAATCATGGAGCCAGACCTGTTATTTTTATGACAAGGCTTCCAGAATTTTCCATGGTGTCTTGTTTCCCCTACAAAACAATCATCCCTGGAAAATTCTAAGGGGAAATCAGGGGAGCTTCTAGCTAACCTCCACACTTTCTTCCCAACTTGAAAATAATTTAAATTTTGGATTTAGTGTGTGAAGGTATTTGGAATATACAGTGTAATGATGATTAACCCCTGTGAGTTGCTATATGATGAACATTTGATTGCATAAAAGAAATCTTCTCTTAGGATTTATGGATTTTGAGATCATTTTATCAATACATTGGAACTTTAAGAGAAGGACTGAATTTGGAGTCATGGAATTCAGGGTTCACAAGATAACTGGTTATCACATATCTTCAACACCACAGCCTATATGGACAACTTTCCTTTGAGTTCTAACTATAGCGTGTCCAGTGTCAGGCAGGCTGAAGAATGCCAATAKCCTCCCACCTGGTCAGTTGAAAGTTTGAGTGGCCATTAGAAGGAACTCTCATCACACCGTAAAACAAGAACTAATTTTCCTATTCTGTTCCACATGGGCCCTTGGRTGTTACTGATAAGTTGAAGTAGCTAGATGTTTTGATTACTGTCCTCATTCTGCCTTCATTATACAAAATATTATAGAAATTGTTTTGGAGGCCAAAACTTCATAGGAGCACTTTGGATTACTTGGGCTTCCCAGAAATCAGAATATTGTGGAATAACACATTTTAGCAAAAATGGGGGAATATTCAACATTGCTTAACCCCTCTGTGGCTTGTTTCCTTATCTTTAAATAGAAGGCAGTAAGTGATCCTGCCTCACATGAAGACTGACATTGCTTAGAACTATGCCTGGCATGCATAGTTGGTGTACGTCTCGTGTGGTGTGGAGTCATCATCTTCTAGATGCACGTGACCCATGAGTGACATTTGTTCACTTTTTCTTCCCTGTTCCCAGGCCTTGCTCAGTGCCCATGACACGGTAGCTCAGAAAGATTTTGAGCCCCTTCTTCCCCCACTGCCTGACAATATCCCTGAGAGCGAGGAAGCCATGAGGATTGTTTGCTTGGTGAAAAACCAGCAGCCCCTGGTAAGGAAGTCATGACATCTTTTCCTTAAGGATTATTCCAGAGTTATTTTGGGCAATGCGACCCCACCCTGGGTCATGCACAGGTGACAGTGATGGTGCAGTGAGCTGTCTGATTTTTGTCTGTGATTTTAAACACATGGCATGTTATAAAGTGTTTGTTATGGAATGATTTCTGCTTAGTGTTTTTTTCCTTTTGGAAAAGTAAGACAAGTCTTACAAGACAAGACTTATTTTGTGAGAAATCAGAAATATATATTTTTTATTTTATTGTTTGGTTTTCTGATGTGTTTATATTTCACTCAGTTCCAATGTACTTGCCTAAATTTTATCCTTTATTAATGGGAAACCAAGTAGGGCATTAATTTGATGTTCTAGGAGCAGTCGTTACAATTGGGTTATCATGGGAACTTTATCTTTGGAAGGATCTAAATATTCTTTTACATCTGTATGATTGTAAGTTGACTTCATGAGGCCAAGGCTGAATGGTCTGTCCTTTGCTGATAGCCTGGTGTCACTGGCAGGTTATGGGACACTGTGTGGCCCCTCTCTCACTGGTTGGTATACATACCCTTGTCTGAAAGGCCAGAGCTGCRTTGATTGAAGGAAGCCACCAGGAAAGTGGCCATGTGGGATAAAAGAGGGACCCCATTTTATTTTCTCTCTAGGGAGCTACGATCAAGCGCCACGAGATGACAGGAGACATCCTGGTGGCCAGGGTCATCCATGGCGGGCTGGTGGAGAGGAGTGGTAAGCAAGAGCAGCAGGGTTCTAGTGTGACTACTCAAAAGCCTTGATTGTGTGGTCTCTTTTCCAAGGAACCCTCTCTCCTGACAGGTCAGGGCTTTTGTAATTTCCATGGTTTCATGAGAGTAGCAAAGACAGAAAGATCAGATAGATAGTCCAGGGAAGTCTCGCTTCCCTTCTTCACTGAGTCCCTCCCATTCTAGGCACCATATAAAAGCTCTCTCACTTTACATTCTCATGGTAGCCTAACATTACCATGCCATTTTACAGAAGAAGAGACAGAGGGTCACAGAGATGAAGTCACTAGCTTGATCAAGRTTATACAGTTTGAGTTAGGATTCCAGTACCTGAGTTCATAGTCCCCACTTTTTGACCCTTCTGCTTTCAAAAAGACATAGTAGCTCTTTTCCATCTTGAAATGCCTTTGGTTTGCTCTTTCTACCRGGTAAGCACACTTTCCTCCTTTCACTAATGTGCTTCTGATTTGAGTGTCTCTTCACCGGCTGCCTCAGGATCTGGCCCCAGGATTCCCTAGAGCCCACATGTGGTTCACACCCCAACATCCTTCTGGCAAATACTGAGGAGTTCCAAGTTTCTAAGTCCCTTGGGACCCCCTTTTCATCCTCAGGCTTGTTTTTCCTGCTGCATCACGTTTGCCATGGACACCTTTCTTGACCTTGGTGTCTTTTCTGTGAGGTCATCCTGCTTTTTGCTCATTTCCCTCACAGCTCCTCCATTTTACCTCATATTTCTCAAGGTTTAATCCCYTTTTCCTTTTTTTGTACTGGGGATTGAACCCAGGGGTGCTTAACCACTGAGCCACAACCCCAGCCCTTTTTATTTTTCATCCTGAGACGAGGTCTCACTAAGTTKCTTAGGGCCTCACTAAGTTGCTGAGGCTGGCCTTGAACCTTCGATCATCCTGCCTTAGCCTCTCAAGCTGCTGGGATTACAGCCATGTGCAACCATGCCTGGCTCCTTTTTTTTAAAGAAAAAAGTATTTATTTTTTAGTTGTAGGTGGACACACAATATCTTTATTTCATTTTTTTTAATGTGGTGCTGAGGTTTGAACCCAGTGCCTCACATGTGTTAGGCGAGCATTCTACCACCAAGCCATAACCCTAGCCCTCCTTTATTAAAATATATATATATATAATAACTATATTAAGAAGGTACAGTGTGATAACTCAATTCATGTACACATGTGTATTGATCAGATTGGGGTAATTCGCATTTCCATCTTCTTAAAGGTTTATCATTTCTTTGTATTGGAAAACTTTGAACTCCTCTCTTCTAGTCTTTTATAAAATATACAATAAATCGTTGTGAAATATCATCACCCTACTGTGCTGTAGAACATTGGAGCTGCTTCCCTCTATGTAGCTGTGTTTGGGTACCTGTTGTCTAACCTTCCTCTGTATCTGCTCTCCCCTGTCCTTCCTAACCTCTAGGGGTAAGGTATAATCTTGAACCCCCCCCAAATTTCTCCACATTTTCTCTTCTGAAAATACYCTCAAACACACACCTCTTCCTTTTATCATTTATTCACGACCCCAACATCTTTAATTTTAGTGCTACTTCTTACAATGTTCTCCTTCCATTTTATATCAGATTAGCAGAAAGAAAAATATCACCATTTGCATTGGAAAAGAGGTGGATGGCATGCTCACAGATCTCTGTGGTGGTATAGGTTGGAATAAACGGTTTATTTAGAATGTTTAGAGGATGCTTGGGCTAGTGAGTTTGCTTATAGCTTTAGAGATGGTGACCTCATTTTTTCCTTTTTTTGGTATGTTTCTTTGTTTCTGTTTGCCTAGGGTTGTTATATGCCGGAGACAAACTGGTGGAAGTGAACGGAGTCTCAGTTGAGGGACTAGACCCTGAGCAAGTGATCCATATTCTGGTAACTGTCTTCTCTTTGTCCTTTTGTTCATGACTTAGTGAAGAGCTGAGGCACTGGGCCCATGGAGCCCGTGGTGTGTGCATTGTAGTGTGGGGACTTGGGTTCCTCTCTGCAGCCTCCAGTCTCCAGGCCTGCAGATCTTACCTGTTGTCATGTAGTTCATTGACCTTCCTCCTTTACCCCCCAGAAATTCTGACCCTGCCTGGGAAATGTTCCTACCCAAGCTCTCCTTAGGGGAGGATCAGGTCCCYAGCTCAGGTTTCTTGTCACCTGTGTTTCTCCATTGGAAACTGAGCGTGGGTGGGCAAAGTGAGCTTTGCAGGAGAGTTTGAGCCTAAGCAAACCACAGCTTGCTCCTCCCATCCCCACTTTTTTTTCAATGCTGCGGATTGAACCCAGGGACTTGCACAGGATAGACAAGGGCTCTACCACTGAGCCGCAACCCCATCCCTCCCCTAACACATTTATGCAGCTGAAATCTGCTTAACCTTTCTCCAGGGCAGCTTTGAGGGGAGAAAGAAGTCACCATGGGACAGAAGATAGGGAGGAGGACATCCTTGTTTGGCCCCGCCCCTCTTCCTTGGTGTTTGAAGTTGAGGATTCATAGTCTGAATCTATGAGACTTTGGTCTCTCCTGTTTCCATTCTCACCTCTTAGCCCATTCCCTGAATCACAGTCCAGCATTAATTAGCCAAAGCAGCATGGTTCCATCAATCTCCCCAATGCATACCCCAACTTTGGGGCCTGAGATTTGTCACTATATATTATATAGACCAGTGATTCTCAAACTGGGTGCCTGGGAGAACTCTAGCCTTTCACAGTGATGGCTTAGAGACCGAGAGGAGGAAAGATATGAAAAGGACACGGCCTCAACATTCTGTGTGGCACATAAGGTGCTGCAAAGGGAGTGAAGTACTGTAAATCACAGACATGAGGACAGAAAGTCAGACAGGGCCTGTGGGAAGGAAACCTTGCAGAGTAGGGTGTTTCTGTCAGCACTAAGATGGAGGGGCCCTGGAAGAGGGTGTGGATTTTAGCAACCTGTGACTCCAGAGCCCTGCAGACACAGAGCTACACTGATTCCTAATTTCTTTCCATTCCTGGGTGGAAACAGCTCTGAGCCCTGTAAAAGTTACTATGGGGGATGTCACCATTAGTCCTGGACACATTCAGCTGTGACTGCATCTGCCAAACCCCAGCAACCTTGCTGACTCCGTGACTTCTCCTCCATGTCATTTTCTAGGCCATGTCTCGCAGCACAATCATGTTCAAGGTGGTTCCGGTTTCTGACCCTCCTGTGAATAGTCAGAAGATGGTAAGAGCTGACTGAACCTTTAGTTTTGCACACAGTGAGTCCCAAAATAATGACATGATCCAACATGATGTATCATGCTCCTATCCTCAATGCTGTTTTAACATGTGTTCGATACTGTGCTGGATATTTTTCAATACTGATGAACGAGGAGGCAAATGAGTAAAGGAGCACAATAAAGGGAGATAGGGTGCCACAAAGTCATGAAGTGACATTGAAAATTCTGAAAAATTGAACATAAACATTTCAGAGCTATTACCCCAGATGCTTTTTTTTTTTTTTTTTCATGGTACTTAGTTCAGGAAGCAAATTCTCTTTTTTGGTGAGAGAGGAAAGATATGACCAGTTCATGGAAGAAGGGGAGCAATGATTTTAAGTCTTACCAGCCCAAGGACAAAGGCTCTTCTGATGACACCATTATGCACTTGCCATCAGATTTATGTTCGTGCCATGACGGATTACTGGCCACAGGAGGATCCTTCCATCCCCTGCATGGATGCTGGATTGCCTTTCCAGAAGGGCGACATCCTCCAGATTGTGGACCAGAATGATGCCCTCTGGTGGCAGGCCCGGAAAATCTCAGACCTTTCTACCTGTGCTGGGCTAATCCCTTCTAACCACCTTCTGAAGAGGTAAGGTCATTCTCCTGTATTCAGGACTGGGCCCTCCGGAAAGGCCTGGGACAGCAAGTTTCTGTTAGTGAAATTAACACGAAATGAAGAGAATCAAGCAGTGGACAAACACACACTTGGCTTATAAATCCAAATGCCAATTTATTGATGTGCTCTAAGCATTGTAAATATTAAAGGGACCAGAATAATCAGATGAAAAAGAGAGAAAAGTGTTTGTGAAACTAAATTAAACTTAAGAAGTGCTATGGTCTGAATATTTTTGCCCTCATCTCCATTCATGTATTGAAACTGAATCCCCAAGGCAATAATATGAAGAAGTGGGACTTTTAGGAGATGACTGGGTCATGAAGGTCAACCTCTTATGAATGGGATTACTGTCCTTATAAAGAACCAAGGGAAGAGGCTTGTTTACCCCCTTCTGCCAAGTAAGGGACAGCTCAAAGATGCCCTCACTAGATACCACATCTGCTGGTAGCTTGAAAACCAGATCTCCCAGACTCCAGAACTGTGATAAAATAAATTTCTATTGTTTGTAAACTATTCAGTTTATGGTATTTCATTAAAGAAGCCTTAACTAAGATAAAAAGTATTAATCTTTCAAGGCTGAGCTGAGCCCTCAGCTACTGAATCTCAATCCATCACTGTGAGATTTGATGAAATCACTTAGGGAGTGAGTAAATATAGAAAGATGAGGTCCAAGGCTCAGCCAGTGTTAAAGATCAAGAAGAAGAAAAGGAACAAGCAAAGGAGATTGAGAAGGGCAAAAGTCCTGACCATACTGTGTCCTGATCAGTTATATCTGTCAATTGTGGCAGAGAGATCTGAGAATTGACTATTAAATTTGGCAATGTGTGGAGGTCATGGGTRATCTTGATACAGCAATTTTAGTGGAGGGATGGGACCAAAATCCTTGTAAGAAAGGTATTTGAAGAAACGGATRATAATAAGCATGGAAAATGTTTTGGGACATTTGGGTGAAGCAGAGTAGAACAATGGAGAAATATCTAGAAAGGGAAGTGAAATGATGTGAGAAAATTTTTAGGTGGGATGAATAATATTAATGGGAATAACCCAGTGAGAGGGGAATTTTTTAAGTCTCAGGAGAAAGGATTACTGAGGTCCTTGAACAGGCAGAAGGAGATACACTCTAGTGTACAAGAAGTGGGGTTTTCCTGATATAGGAGCAGAGACAGTTCATCCACAGGGCTAGTCACAGGAAAGAAGGGCACGATTGGGAGTGGTGGGAGTATGTGAAATGAGAAGCAATGTCATAAGCTGAGAATAAGGTGGGTAAGGAGGTGTTGAGAAGGAGAAAGGAGAAAACTTGAAAAGTTTCAATAAGAGCTGGAAAGAAAATAGATATAGTATGATTGGCATTAAGGGTCCACTGAAGATTAAAGGTCATAAACCTGAAGTGCTTCCAGTCAGCTTCTTGGATGCAGGTCCAGATTAGACAGAGGGTTAGATTTAACTGCAAATCCAAAAAGGACCTAAGAGAAGTGATGGGTCATGGCATTTAAATTGTTAARGAGGAAGATGAGGAAATTAAGCAGATGAGGATCCATAAGAAGGAAATAAGATTAATAGATTTTAGGTCCCTATAGGGTCAACAGATAATCGGAGTTTCAAAGATGGTAGGTAAAGGGATGCCAGAAATTGAAATTATGGAGAGATTAGCTATTGGTACTGAACAAGTCTAGTTTATGACAGTGGGAGGGCAGAGGCTGAGGGAGGAGGAGGGAAGGTCATTGGCAAAAACCAGATCAAGAACCCGAGAAGCCAGGGTGTTAGAGGGGCATTTATATGTTTAATAAAACCATCAAGAATTATGACTGAGTAGTATGAAGAGCATGGGAGCAACCAGGAGTGATTGGGGATGATGTTCAAAGTGGGGGCTCTTAAGGAAAAGGGAGATGAATATGGAAATGGCTTTGAGGACAAGGACACACTGCATTCCAGGTGCAGTGGAAGGGGCCATGCACAGTGGCATGCTGGAGTCCCCCACAAGAGCCCACTGTGGCATCTCTGCTCACATCCATGTCCGGTGCAGTCATTAGCCAGGGTGAGGAAACAGACACTACCTGACTCAGCAAGTCTCTGCTTTCTTTTTTTGCATAGGAAGCAACGGGAATTCTGGTGGTCTCAGCCATACCAGCCTCACACCTGTCTCAAATCAACTGCATGTGAGTGAAACCACCTCAGACACAACAGGTGCACAGGGAAGCCTGCTCCCTCTGTCAGGGGGGGCTTCCTGCCCAAGAGAGGACCTCTAAATGTCTCCACCACTCCAAATAATCTCCTTGGTTGATGGTCACATGTTCTTTAGATGACTAAATAGGAGGCCAAATTATTCTTAACAAATGCAGTTTGATTGTTAGACAATATTATTCAAATAATAGGGGAGTGGTTAGTGAAGGGATCCATGGTGGCAAATGCTTGGGAACTACTTATGGTCTTAATAAAGGGGGCCATGGGAGTGGGAGGCCATTCTTAGGACCAGGACAGAGGCCAGCTGCACCCCACAGAGGGCAGTGTTAGGGATCAAATTCAGGCCCCACACATGCCAGGCAAGTGCTCTGCCAGTAAGCTAYATCCCCAGTCCCTGAAAAACCTTTGTTCCCCCTCTTAAACCAACCTAGATTGAAAAAATTCTTTATTCACTTACCTATTTCAATCACCAAAGGCACAGGGAGATGTTAATTAGACTTTCCAGACAGTATCTGATAACTTGTGTGTCGGGTTGGCACGTCATTTGCTCCTGTAGCCTAAGTGTGATTTATAGTAGACTTTTAATTATACTGAAAGTAGTTTACATCAGCCTCTTAGTATCTTCACACATTCCTGAGTACAGAAACCAGGTCTGCAGCCACTAACTTAAAGAGACATCTCTCACAGGGCATGTTTCTGATGGAGCATGATCACTTTTGAAACTACTAGATCATTTCTTTTTAGCTGTTGTAGATGATACTATAATAAATATTATTTTACATCTTTTAAGTTCTGCTTAAATCTTCCCATGGTGGAGGTGGGGGGGGAGGGGCAGATCTCAGGAACAAGCTACTAATTGAAGAGGTATAGTCAATTGACTCAGAGGTTTTGAAAAATTCCTAGCCTTTGGTAGTTTACAGATTATTGTTTTACTGAAAAGTGTTTGTTGTCATCTGCCTTTCTTTCCCTCCCTTCCTACTCCCTCCTTCTTCCTTCCCAGCTACTTTTCTTTTTTTTCTTCCTTTATTCCTTCCTTCCATTCAAGATTTTAGTTCCTAAAATACACTGAAGTGTAAGAGCATTAATTCAGAAATGAGTCAACTGTGTGATTTTCATACAGCTAATTGGGTTGAAAGAGGATGGGAGCTGCCAGAAGCAGGGAGCTTCTCCCAAATATAGTCATTTATCATTTGTTATTGAATTTCCACTAAATTTCTCGAAGATCAATTACAATAATATTGGCACTTTGCTTTTCTTAGTGTAAATTAATCTGAGAAATGAGAGCATAAACCATTGTGTTCCCTTTTTCTCCTCCTGCTTCCATCATTTGAACATACCAGTGATTTCTATGGAAGAAGGTAAGAAATAACATTCAGGGCAGGAAGATCTTATATTCAAAGTCTCCTAGAAATTTCTTCTAGTTTTAAAAATTCACTTCAATTCAGTTCAGGTATTTTTTAAAACTTCCTATGTACCCATTAGTGTGCTAGAATTCAAAGCATAACTATCCTAACACTGAAAAGAATCAAGGAAAGAAAAGTAACATTTATACACAACTCTGAGTCTAACACAGCACATAATAAGAACCCAATGAGTTGTGAAACTGATCAGATATCTTATTTCAACTGCTTTTGATGYATTTTATAAAAAAGACACTGCAGGGAAAGGGAGATTATCACTACTAGCTACTCTTCTGACAGAGGATGAATATCCAGAATATATAAAGAACTCTAAAAAAACTTAACAAAAAAACCAAGTAACCTAGTTAATAAATGGGCAGATGAATTAAACAGACACTCTCATTTCTCAAAAGAAGAAATACAAATGGCCAAAGATAGATGAAAAATGTTCAATACCATTAGTAATTAGGTAAATGCAAATARAAACTATACTGGGGGCGTGGGGCTTGGGCTGAGCGGTGGAGCGCTCGCCTGGCACGTGTGAGACTCTGTGCTCCATCCTCAGCACCGAATAAAAATAAATAAAATAAAGGTATTGTGTCCAACTACAAGTAAAAAAAAAAAATTAAAAAAAAAAAAAAAACCTCTACTGAGCTTTCATCGCACACCGTCAGAATGGCAGTTATCAAGAAGGCAAACTACGGGAAGCAGCGGCCAGAGGATGGGAGCGGCGGCCAGAGGATGAGAGCGGTGGCTGCGACGCGGTGGCCGGCTGTGAGGCCGAGGCCCGGCCACGCCACTGCCATGATGTCGGGCTACGCGCGCCGCCTGGGTGCCACACCGATGTCCCGGGCCCGAAGCCTCGTTGTTCCCGATAATGACAAACTGGAAGACCTTGAAGAGGCAAATCCATTCTCCTTTAAAGAGTTTCTGAAAACCAAGAACCTTGGTCTAACGAAAGAGGACATGACCAACAGCAGAATTCATCCAAAGGAAGCCTCGAGGCACTCACTGGGACTGGACCACAGCGCTCCCACCCACCCGGCTGTGGCGTACGGCCTGGAATATCAGCAGCCATTTTTTGAAGGCCCCACAGGGCCTGGCAACATCCTGGATGAGGAGGCGAAAGACGAAAACAGGCGGTGGAATGGGGCCTATTTGCCATCTGCCGTGGAGAAGACGCTCTCCTGCAGGGCCTTGGCCGGCACAGCACCCTGTGCGGCGAGTCCTGGTGCAGAGTTTACACCGCTTGGGGAGTCTCTGGGTGACAGACACCTGCGCACGCTGCAGATAAGTTATGAAACCCTGAAAGAGGAAAATTCTAAGCTAAGAAGAAAGCTGAATGAGGTTCAGAGCTTCTCCGATACTCAAACAGAAATGATAAGGACGCTTGAGCGGGAGCTAGAGGCAAAGAGGATCAAGGAGGTGAGTGACTACCATGACCTGGAGTCAGTGGTCCAGCAGGTGGAGCAGAACCTGGAGCTGATGATGAAACGAGCTGTAAAGGCAGAAAATCACGTCATAATGCTGAAACAGGAAATAAACTTGCTCCAGGCACAGGTCTCCAACTTYAAGCGCGAGAATGATGCCCTGAGGTCGGGCCAGGGTGCCAGCCTGACGGTGGTAAAGCAGAACACTGACATGGCCTTACAGAATCTCCGTGTTGTCATGAACGGTGCACATGCCTCCATAAAGCAGCTGGTTTCTGGAGCTGAAACGTTGAATTTTGTTGCTGAAATCCTGAAAGCCATAGACAGAATTTCCGAAATTAAAGATGAGGAGGAGAAGTCATAAAGGACCTCTGGATGTTCCCAGCTCCGGTGTGCCCTGATCAGCAGTGCTTCATCTGAATGTGCAATTGTGCCCCAAACTATGCCGTCTTCACTCAGCATATTTATCATGAGATATTAATTTCATGACCTAAAACAGTGTTATTGGCCACCCGCAATAAGAGCAGCTCTTGTCCATGAGTTGCATTTGTGGTTTATGTGCAGTCCTTCTTGGGGAAATTATCAGTGTTTTGTAGATTCAGTAATCTGTTGGAAGAAATTTTTATAAAATCCAGTGAGTTTTTATATTACCAAACATGAAAACAAAAGTTCTGTAATAAGTGCTCTTCCATTTTCATCCCAGAACATTGATAAGTTCAGTTGATTATCTTGATTAGGTAAGTAGAAAGAACACTTACAACCACCCAGGAATGAACAACGTGAACAGGGACATGTGCCTTTTTGCTGTCACTCAGCACCTATCATAGCCTTCCTGGGGTGGTTTCTGTGGTCAGTGGCCCAAGTTCAGAGGCACCACTTGGTGGATGCTGCTCTTCCTCCCACAGGGACACAAGATTGCAGATATTCCACACCGTGATGGTATCTAAACTTGGGCTTTGAGCCTTCAGCTTTGAAAAGCTGTTTTGGCTGGTGATTTTGATACACGTTTCAAGTGTGATTTGTACAATGAAGCTTAGAGTTCGGTAGTCTAAAGTGTRTGCAGAGCCTCATCGGGTAGGCATATGGTCTTTGGGCTCCTTATACCTGTTTTACTATTTGGGAGGGCACAACAGGTTTGGGCTGTTTTCCTGGAGATGCTGGTTTTTGCCTTCCATTCCCCCTCYTGTTTAAATCTATAGGTTTCCTGTTCAAATAAATTCTGAAGTTTAAAAAAAATGCAAACTATAAGAAATGGTAGAGAGGATGTAGAGAAAAGGGGACACTTTCACACTGTTGGTGGGACTGTAAATTAGTACAACCCCTGTGGAAGTCAGTATGGAAGTGCCTCAAAAGACTAGGCAAGGAACCACCATATGACCCAGCAATACCACTTCTTGGTATTTACCTTACAGAATTAAAATTATCTTATTACAGTGATACATGCTACCCATGTTTATAGCAGTACAATTCACAATAGCCAAACTATGGAATCAGCCTAGGTGTCCATCAACAGATGAATGGATAAAGAAAATGTGGAATATATACAAAATAGAGTTTTATTCAGCCATAAAGAAAAATGAAATTATGTCATTTGCAGGAAAATAGATGGAACTTGARACCATTATGTTAAGCAAAATAAACCAAACTCAGAAGGTCAAAGGTTGTGTGTTTTTTTGTCATATGTGGGAGCTATAGAGGCAAAAGGAAAAGAAAGGGGGGTGTGGATCTCATGAAAATCAAAGGCGAGCAGTAGATTAAAGGGACCAGGTGGTGAGAGGAGGGAAGGATGGGGGGGGGGAAGTGCTGGGGAGTGATGGTGGCCAAATTATATTATCTTGTATGTATGAATGTGTAGCAAAAAATCTCATCATTGTGTRCAACTATAATGTACAAATTAAAAAAGGGGAAAGAAAAAAAAACACTGCAGGGAGATTGCAATTATTTTCACCATCTTATGGATGAAAAGATTGAGGTTCAGAAAAGCCCCAATAACGTTTGTCAGAAGTTGCAAACAATGTAGCTTCCATCTTATCTGAATGGCCCTGTATYGGGGGCAAGTAGAACCTTCAGTGACTACCTCTTCCCTTTGTCCATGTCCAACCATCCAGATAATGCACTATGATGTCACAAATGCACATGTACATGCACAAACAAGAGACCTGAGAACTCCTGAGAGGGACTTTTGAGAATTGATCTCTCAGCATAGGCTCCAGCCTGGGTCCTCCAAGGACAGGAGTTGTATATGAYACAGGCAGGGAACCAGAGGAGGTGGAAGAGAGTCAAGTCCAGGGTTCGCTTAGGTTTGTGTATCCAAGGCCACGTCAAGGGCAGCGCTGTGAAGGGCAGTCTGGCTCTGGCACTTGGGGAGGGGTTGACACTCAGTGGGTGGGCTGTCTTAGAGTGGGCCGCCTAATGAGATACACAGACATTTATTTTCTAGTTCAGGAAGCTGGAAGTTCAAGATCAAGTTTGTTTTGTTGTCGCCTCTCTTCCTGGCTTGTAGACAGCCACCTGGTTACTGTGTATTCATGTGGCCTTTCTTAAGTGCATACTTGGGAAGATAGATATCTATTGTCTCTTCATCTGCTTCTAAGTCCTTTTGGCATTARGCTCCATCCCAAGGACTTCATTTTACCTTAATTATCTCTAAAAGACCCTATCTCTAAATACAATCATGTTGAGGGCTGGTGCTTCAACCTATGAACACAGTGGGAACTAATTCATTCTGTAGCACCCACCCTAGCTAGTAATGTGGAGTTGCTGATTTGGGAGAATAAAAGCAGTTCCCCTATCCTAGATTCCAGAGTCACATGTCAAAAGAGCCTCAGGGGTCCTTGTGTGATCATTGGAGAATCATTTCTGGCCTCTGTACCTATGTTGTAAAATAGGAATGACAATTGTAGTTTTTATTTGCTTTCAAAAAAACACTTTAGCTATGACCTGTTAATATAAATGGCTAATCTGGAAAGTAATCTCTAAATGAATAAAAGCTTCCATCTTATCTGAATGATAAGATGCAGTCATACATGTACCTAGGGTAATGATATCTATCTCATCCCATAAGTGGTTTTTAAGTTTCATTCTTTAATTCTCTTATATATGTGTCAGCTAAAGGTAAAATCAGCTACCATTTATTGAGCACTTACCATGTACCTGGGCTAAATATCTCAGCTGTGTCACTTGTTTATCTGTGCTAGTCTCCATGAGAATATTACTTCTTAAAATTTATCATGTTTCATATTTTATTTAAAAACAATAATGAATGATATAGTTTTTAAGGCAGTGGTGATAAGTGTTACTTTATAATATTATAGATTGTTGCTTAGACTTTGAATTTTGGTGACATGTATAAGACTCATTAAGCCAYTATTTGTTTTGAGCATCTGGGAAGTGCTGGGCACTATGCTAGGCACAAGATGTACAATGCTGAAAGAAAAAAAAAATTCTTAGGAGGCATTTTTAAATCAACTATTTTAATCTTCAAAAGTAAATTCAAATTAATGAATAATTAATCTTATAGCTACTATGTGCAAGGCATTGTTCTGAGCTCTGTAGAGTATGTGAAAACTAGATAGTGCCTGCTTTCAGGGAACATTCTAGGAGAATAAGTAAAACAAACACTCAAATGGTTACATTACAAAAGAAGAGATATATAGTAGTCCAAGTTCAAGGTAGTTGGAAGAACATGCTGAGGAGGTTTAGAGAAGGGTATTTATTTTAATCATTGTTTGAGGTGGGCCTTGATGTGCCATAGGCACAGGGAAAAAACAACATACACTAAGGCACAACAGAAAGACCCATGTGGTGAGCTCTAACAGTGATACAAGAGATGTAAGGGGAGATATGGACCTTCTAACTGGGGTCTCATGATGAAGGCTTTGAGTGTTARGATAAGTGTTTTTAAAAAATAATTAATTTTAATTAGGTATATGTAACAGCAGAATGCATTTTGATTCATTGTACACAATTGCAGCACAACTTTTCATTTCTCTGGTTGTACACGAAATAGCATCGCACCATATATGCAGTCATACATGTACCTAGGGTAATGATGTGTATCTCATCCCATAAGTGGTTTTTAAGTTTCATTCTTTTATTCTCTTAGATATTCGTCAGCTAAAGGTAAAATCAGCTTCCATTTATTGAGCACTTACCATGTACCTGACATTTTCATGAACTATCTCAATGAATCTTATTCTATATGGTTTATTTCCCCCATTTATGGCTTTGAGATAACTGATTTTCTCAGCACTGACAATCCAATGCTCCAATATAACATTTTATGTATTTTGCCTTCTGCGTTACACATTTTCATCTAATACAGTAGAGTCCATTTTATCTCACCAAATATGTGATAGTTCCACAAACAACATTGTAAGGTGGTCTCAGTTTTGTTGACACAGTCTCTACATGGAGAACGCTGTTTTTAATGCTGACATATTATTAATTCTCTTTCCTTTCTATGCTCTTTTATAGAAGATGACATGAGGATTGATGAGAAATGTGTGGAAGCAGGTAACATTTCCTCTTGATTGATTCACCCCCAGAAGGAACATGAAGCACTTCAGCTATAGATTATCTAGAGCAGAGGTGGTAGAAGAGGCCATAGATCCTTCCTCTAGAATTGACATATAAAATRACCCCACCCCTGTTTTTGTGGCTCTGCATATAGAAGGAAAAACACAGTTTGGGGATGTCTGTAGGTCCCCACTAAACTTCTGGAAAGTRTTCTAGAAAGCTGCATCTTGGAAATGACCTCAGGAACACGTGCTAACAATCAGCTTACCAGACAGTGGAACACTTGGAACCCTCCTCCTCCTCCCTGTGTTTTTGCGGAACAGCATAAAATCTGTGATACCAAATGTGTAGAAAGCCAAACACATCTTTTTGTCATTAAGTTTGATGCCCCATCTTCTGGTAAATTCTGGTATAGATAGGTAGTAATGGCTTCCAGAATTTTGAGAAATATATGAAAGCTTTTACATTTCTATATTTCAGGTTTTCTAAAAAATTTGGATTTTTTTTTCAAATTTAGTGGTAGTACTAAGGTTGGTTCAAAAATCACTAGGGTTTTGCTGAAAGTCATTTGCCTGACACATGAATTTGTCTTGGCTTTATGGGTTAATCTAGGTTTTAGAAATGAAAGAACTATTTCAGAGATTTACATATATTTCCCAGAACAACTACAAAATAATGCTCATGCTACAGTTAGTTTACCAAGTATGCATTCCAGTTTTTAAACTTGTGGTAATATGTAATTCCTTTCTGTGCAGTTAATCAAATTTTTATTAAGTAATCTTTTCACATCATTCAAAAGTTGAAAAAAAAAAAACTGCAAAAGTGTACCCGGTAATAAGTTTCTCTTTCCATGTTCCCCTACTCAGTTTCTTTCTTTCTTTTTTTTTTTTTTTTGCATGGCAATCCAAATTTATTGAACTACTGATGCTAAGTTATACAAAATTGCACCACTTTAATTAAGGCTTTTAGTTTACATTTGGCCACCTCAAAGTAGTTGTAACATTAGGTTGGTCAATTTAAATACTGTGGCTCCCTGTTGGATAGACACACAATCTTTAYACCCAAACGTTAATGCATACAAAGCAACAAGGCATTGTTAAATAAAACAGCAATAGTTACTGCAAATTAGGCCTTGTGACCAATTATACATGATTAAAATTACTTCCCACATTCACATCCACAGTACTCRTCCACCATTTAACATCTCAACCAAAACGTTACACATGTGAAACAATCACTAACAGGCAAAAATACTAAACCTGTATATTTGGTATTGCAAATACACTTATGCATGAGCAAGCAAGGGATTCACAGTGAGAATCTACAGCTGCAGAAGCCTGAAAATGATTTACAAAAATTGTTAAATCATTAAAAAATTGTTGAAAATATACACTTCTTGTTGTAGACCCCCACTGTACACACAACTACAAACATTGTTCCCTATGTAAACAAAAAAGGGAAACACATAATAAGGAGATTTGAAAAGTCTGGACATTTCCTTCCCAACAGATATTAAAGGCAACGTCTTTAATCTAAGACATCATACTRAAAGGACTATATTTTAAAGACAARATCACTGTCTCCACAGGTTTTTGAAAAATTAAAAAAAACTATATAGCTGTGTTAATCAAAGCGCTTATTTTATACMATACAATGATAATGACCTTGGATTTWAAAAAAATTACAATAARCTACAAGTATCAAAGAAGCAAAGTTTATCTGGAGTAGTCTATATAGGAGCTCTTTGGACTTTCTTTTATTATGCTAAAATAGTGGTGCTTTCAGGATTTACATTATTGTACTCTCCAATACAAAGTATGGGGTGTGTTAAAGTATACAGTACACCATTTTCATACATGTACAACATTGGTGGATGAAGAATGTCTCTTAGCAGTAATACTGGATGTAGCCTCTGGTTTTACCAGCTGCATACTCTAGGACTATTATATAAGTRAAAATCTCTCTTGTGATACTGAAAAGTGATTAGAATGTGCAAACTGATATAGTAGCTTTCATCCGCCTCTTAAAGGGTACCACCACAGGAAAGTCCATATAAGATGTTGGTAGGTTTAACAAAGTTGGAATGCKGGCACTGTTGAATTGGGCAACAGTTCTTCAGACCTGGCTCAGAGCTACAATGCATTCAATATATTAAAGCAGCTGACACGATGACTTTTTTCGGGCCTTCCCAGGCACTGGAGTTTTTCTGTTAATTTGCCGCACTAGGTCATAAAAGATCTCATTAACATTTATTTTTGATTTTGCAGAAGATTCKAAGAATGCACAGTTGTTCCACTGTCTTGCTAGATTTTGACCTTGTTCCTTTCCTACAACTCTTTCATCTTCCAAGTCACACTTATTACCAACCAGAATCATGGGAACATCATCAGTGTCTTTAACTCGAAGAATCTGTTCTCTCAGATCTTGTAAATCATTAAAGGTGGACTGTGCAGTGATGGAATAAACTAAAGCAAAGCCTTGTCCATTTTTCATGTACAAATCCCTCATTGCTGTAAATTGTTCCGTTCCTGCAGTATCCAAGATTTCAAGCATACATTGTTGTGCATCTACTTCAACTTGCTTTCTATAAGAATCTTCTATCGTAGGATCATATTTTTCAACAAAAATTCCTTGAACAAATTGTACAGTCAGAGCAGATTTTCCAACCCCTCCTGAGCCAAGAACGACTAGCTTATATTCACGCATGATGCAAACTTGTCAAAATTGAGTACTCTGCGAACCTCTCACGCTGTCACCGGCTTCCCGTAGCCAGCGTCGCCCCGCGCTCCCTCCGGGTCGCTGCTCTGGGCGCCACGGCGGTCCTGTCGCTGCCGCAGCCGCTCCGCCTGGTTTACACGCCWGACCTCAGTTTCTTTCTTGAGCCAATAAATGTCATCAGTTTCTTAAGTATCCTTCCAGACAGTCTCTGCATACACTTCAATCTTGTCTCCCCAAACATGAATGCACACATCCTTTGATGATATGATATATACACTATTCTGTTCCTGGCCTTCTAACTGTATATCTTTTTTTTCCTTTTCAGTACTGGGGATTGAACCCCGGGGTACTCTACCATTGAGCTGCATCCCCAGTACTTAAAAAAATTTTTTTTAAAAAAATATCTTTATTTATTTATTTTTATGTAGTGCTGAGGATCAAACCCAGGGCCTCACACATGCAAGGCAGGCRCTCTACCACTGAGCTACGGCCCCAGCCCCTTAAAACTTTTAATTATAAGACAAGGTCTTTCTAAATTGCCCAGATTGGCTTCAAACTTGAAATAATTCTTCTAAGTAGCTGGGATTATAGGTGTGCACTGAAGCGCCTGGTTAACTTMATATATCTTAAAGATGATTCTATCTCATCATCTTTTAAAAATTGCTTATTTGTAGATATTTGAGTTGTGTTCATTTTCTACTATAAGCATTGTTACAATGAATAGCTTTATAGATATGTCATTCACACATGTATACTTAAGATGTACCATTGCCTGAGCCAAGGGTATATGCATTGGTAATATTACTATATCTTTCAAATTGTCCTCCATATAAATTWTTACTTTTGTAATCCTTAAWCCCTTTTTAAAATGCTAACAAGAATTGTTTTAATGAAGGAAGAAGCTGGTTTCTCTCATGCTTTCTCAGTCACCTGATCCTGCTCAGTCAAGACATTCAAGTACTCACATTCTCCCTTTCCTTGCCTGTAGCCCCCAGCTCTGCAGGCAGAGGCCTCCCTCCCACACATGYGAGTCTTCCAGAAGCAAGGTGGTGCAGTGTACAACTATCCATAGGGTTTTCCTGTGACATTTCACTTTTCCCTTCTCTCTGAGCCTCTTTTAAAATTGTGTTTTACTTATTCTCTTTTGTTTATTTTATTTATTTATTTTAAGTTCCGGCTACACCTCTGGTTGTCATTACAGCCCAACTACTAAATATTACGTATCTCATTTAAGATATCTGTATATGATTTAGAGATACCACTGTCTTGACCTTGATAAAGGTAGCATAGGCACAAAAGCATTAGCCAGGCAATTATATTGTTAAATACAGTCTCAGTGTAGATAGTAATGTAATAACAATTTTGCTTTTTGCCTCCATGGAAAACCATAGATGAAGAAACATTTGAATCTGGTAAGTGAAAAATTTGTACTGAATTTAAATATATATTCCACATTTTAATATAATTTAGCCATATATTTAGAGATATGATATAATAATTGTTTAAATATGACAGTAAAAATAAACATATGAGATGATGAACATGTTAATTTGCTTTACTATAGTAACCATTTTATTATCTGTATATAYTCTTTAACATGTTGTAAATCTCAAAAATACAAGTTTTATTTTTAAAAAATCAACAATGTGGTTGTGAGATATAAATTTTACCTGAACTAATGCTTCTCCTAGGGTCAATATTACCCTCAATTGGGCATTTTGGAACTCTGTGGGAGCATTTTTTGGCTGCCACATGGATTGGGGTCCCTCCCAGCCTTTACCTAGTAGGATCAAGAATGTTAAATGTCCTGCACAATGAAGGGTCAACTCAAGACCCACATATCTTCCTGTTAGGCAAAACCCATTACCAATCTAATGAAAAAGCTCTTTACTACATGATAGTAAGTTTTCACAAGTCAACATGAAGGGCCCAGTGGTTCAGAAGATGGTCACTCTAGAGAGACATAATGACATTGCCTTAGAAATTATGAAGTCCTTTATTCCAAACTTTCTGTCTACACTACATGGATAGTAAATAAATTGGAAAGTATTGTATCTATACTGAATCCATTTTCTTCTTCCTTAATACATTACTTGTTATTATTGATGACACCTAGTAAGTATCAAGGGTCTATCCAGCAAAATAATGTTGACCCCATTTGTAGCAAAATATGTCCCACAGGGAGGTTTATAAAAGCTGGCAACCTGTTGGGGCCTGTTAACATTACTTACCTGATTCCAAGTATATTACATTTCCTCATTTTCTCTATTTCATTGGTCTCCAATTGCTTTGGTATATTATCCCTATTTCAACTAAAGCAATTTCCCTTTCTTATCATGTACAAGTCAATCTGGTCTGTTATTACTTGGCAGAATACTTTTGATTCTAGTGTCCACTTCTTTCCTTTTTTTGTTCTATTCTTCTGCACTTCCTATAAAGAATGTTTTCTGATCTTGATTCTTTTAAATCTATGCCTCCTCATTTAAGTAGGTATAAACATCTACTAGTTTTCTATGTCTTTTAGAGATGTTGCCCATAAATTTATATTTGGTATATATACTTTTAAAATATAAATTACTTCCTTTTGTTTTTCCTTTACATTATAGTAAGAGCATTGTATAGGTTTTTAAAGTTACATGTGTTGTAGATTATATCACCTATGAATTTTATTTCAGAAAAATAGACTGCTACAAATATTAGTTATAAAAAAGATAGCATTGAATTAGGTAGAGTTTGGAACCACTCACTTAAATTAGCCTAGTTATCATTTATATTATTTCTAAAATTTCCTGTATTTCATGAGATGGTTGGTCTACTGGGGATAATTTAATTATTTATACTTGGGTCAGTGTTTGGGATTGGTTTTGTTTTTCATTCCTCTGAGTTATACCCATCCTTCTTTGTTCTGCTCGACTCATTGTGTTGCTGGAAAATACTCCACCAGCTAAGGCTGTGGCTGAGGCTCAGGGGCATTATTTTAAGGGTCTGTAAAAGCTGAGCCAGTGTGTCATTGTAGGTAAGACCATGATCTCATGTCACATTGTCCAAGTATGAATCCTGGGTCCATTACTCATTAACTCTGGCTAACCTTCTGGTGCTTACCCCCTCTGCCTTCAGATTCCTCATCTCCAAAATGGGAACCATAATTAGATTATTTGCATAAGTAAAGTGCTTAGAATAGTGTCTTACCCCCCACCACCTCCATACTTAGTAAATCCTACATGAGGGTTAGTTTGGTGTTATTATGAAATCTTATTCTTTAGGGCAGTTTGTGGCTGGTTTTTTAAGACCAGCCCTTCAGAGGAAAGCATGCAGTGTAAAGCACTCCTTTCAAAGCTTCTCAGTTGAAAAAGAACTCTCAAGAACATGCTGAACTGGCTCTATTAGGAGCTCAATTAAGGAACAATTAGCACCCAACTGGCGTATTTTCCAAGTAGATAACCCTTGGCATTCATTCATGGTACTTACTCCTGTTACCTAGACACTCACTTAGTAGCAGTTAAGGTTCTTCAGTTTTGATCTCTTCATGAGGTATAATGTGACTTCCTTAAATTTCTTTGGGAGGCTCATTTAATTAAGAAGGCCATTAAAAAAAGAAAAGAAAGTACAGCTGTTAAGGATGTCTAGACAACAAAACAGTTTGCTTCATATTCAGTTCCCCTGTCTCCAAGGGGCCAGTTGGAGATGAAAATGTGTACATTAGACCAAGGAAGGGCTTAAGGAATGAGGATAATCAGACCAGAGGTTGGGTCAGCATCTGTCCCACCCCCACCCTCATGTCGTTTCTTCTTCCCCTTCACAAGGTGCCACAAAATGGCCTCTGGGARAGGAGAGAGAAGCCTCAAATCCATTGCCTTTAATGGGTAGTTGTCTCTTTCAAGACTCATCTTGTTCCAACCCACAGAGTCTTCATGGATCAAAAGACTTCATGGAGAGTCTCAGAGGCAACTTGCAGAAAAAAATGGTTGTCCCTCAGGGGTAGAGTGAGGTCAGATGAGTGTCCTAGGCCTTACCCAAGTTAAAACTTTTGCTAATGGTGACATGAATGCTGTCATTTGCCTGTATTTGATGGCTAACTTGGCCTAACTTTTTCACATCTCTTTCTTCACTTGACCAAATACCCAGAGGAACTTTCAGAAGGTAATTGTTCATTTTTATTTCCTGGGCACACTAGACCGAGCTCTATTTAAAGTCTTTCAGTGTGCCACAAAGTSAATAATCGACAGGATAACTTCTAGGATGAGGAGTAGATATGTTAAAGGTGAAATCAATGATAAAATACTCAATTTCATAGACTGCATTTTAAAATGAATGATGATTAGAGCACTTACCTAACATGTGCAAGGCCCTGGGATTTCCAGTATTGCAAACAAGTATATAAATATAAATGATGGAAGTAATTAAGCATTATTAAACTGTCCCTCAGTAGACATTGTCTTTTAAACTTATTGAGATGAAAAATGTACTTACCAGCAGATGTAACTGATATTGGTATGTCTTTTTTGTATTTTAAAATGTGTATTTAAAAAAATTTTTAAAAATAAAGATTAAGAAAAAGAAGGCTGTCTGTCAGTTCATCCTATGAACAAATGTTTTTTATGTTATTTAATGAGCAAAGCAGAGTTGAATAGATGACAACAAATTTAAGTACAAATAATTTGGAAATGACATTTTTAGAACATTTTTTATGGAGTTTATAAGTTTGTCCAAAGACTCAGAAGAAGCAGAAACAGGTTTCTGAACTAGTTCTATATGCTACAGGTCYCAGGCACAATTTTCCTTACTTAGTCTTATAGTTTCTCGGCAATAAGAAAACAAGTGACTATCATAGAGCAAGGACCAATTTTATATAGAATATTAATTAAGTGGAAAATAAAAGCTCATATTTAGCAAAGAGATTAATTATAGGACCTGTAAGAACACTGTATAAGCAAGTTAAAGACAAAAGCCAGTTTCTTTCTTTTTAAAAATCAGTTTTCTTAGGATATGTTAAAAAATGAATACCCAGCTTTTGTGTTTTTACTATGGCTTCATCTCTTTTCTTATATCTTTAAACAAGCCTAATTTTTTAACCATACTATAAAAATAGTTCAGTATAAAACGGAAGTTCTGAAGAATGTTTTTCTATAGTTTATTGAGTGAGAATAAAAGGATGGAAATTGCTGAGAACAATCTTAGAAAGCCACTCAAGAATCAAGTCAACTGTGCTGCCAACTAATAAAACAACGTCAATTGACAATCTGAAGATGATTTCATGCATTGGTTCTAAGTAAACTTCTCTTTGTCCTCATATTCTGTTCTTGCCATTTCATGTCCCAGACAAGGAGGAATTTATTGGCTCTGGTCAAAAGTTCTTTATTGGTAAGTGATGATTAATAAGAGGTGAGTCTTAATCATTTTGAAGTGGTATTCATATCAGCCTGGTGTTCTGCTGAAAGTTTCTTTTGCTGGTGGACATTTCCAAAATTGTTCCTTGTCCTGTTTTCCACCTGTCTACTTTTTCTTCTCAGTGCTCTGATCTATTAATTATTCATTGTTAGTCTTCTAATTTCCACTAGGTATCTTCTAATTATTTATGAAACATACTTCTTTTCATTGTCTCCAAGTCTGTTCCACAACCTATTTATCCTTCTGAAGAGACCAGTTCTCTAATTACTAAACTCTCCTTTTATGGTCACATTTCTATATGTTTGTCACCTTGCAGAGCTTTCTGAAGGGACCAGGTATCTCTCATTTAGAGCTACTCTGGACTTCCCTCTTCATAAGATGAGAGAGAACCACAGAGCTGCAGTCTGTAAACCAGAGTGTTGGCTCCCAAGCCTAGATGCACTTTGAAATCATTGGGGGACCTTTAAAAAAATAAGTGGCCACCTTTCTGTACTACTTCCAGAATCATCAGCCCCAAAGCCATTAGGTAAGGTAGAGCAGGTTAGGAAGCAGCATGAAGATGGAGAATGAGGAGCCTGAGTAGAGCAAGGTGGAGGGTATCTGTGCAGGGGATGAGGGCRGCYTGATGCAGGTGGTCAGTRTMAGAGGAAATGAGGATGGCAGTTGTCATTTGTTGGCCTCTAACACTCCACAACCTTTACAAAGWTCATCTCTCGTGGGCTGACACTTTCTGTCAGGCTGCCACTACTGTTAGTCCCATCTGACACAGATGTTCTTAGTTGATGTAATAAGTAGATGTATTGAGAATCAGAATGACAGGGTTTTTCCTGTTAGAAAAGGGAGTCGCAAATAAAGGGGAAGGCCGCAATGAATCCTGTGGTTTGAACTCATTTCATAAGCATTGGTATGATCTCATGACTTTCGATATGTATAGGTATAAATACAAATAGTAGTGTGTGTATATATTACACACACATATGTGGTTTCTAGTTGTACTGCTAGAAACAGCTCTGAAAGTACCAGAAAGCTCTTTGATTCAATGGGCAGACAAAGCAGGATTCTAGGAGTTTGGAAATCAAGATGAAGAGGTCCAACTTTGCCACTGATCACACAGTCCTGAGCAACCTGAGTCCTAGTGTATTCACCTGAAAAATGTGAACGAGAAGCCTGTCCACCCTGGCCCAAGCCACTATCATCTCTTACCTGGACTAGAGTGGTAGCTGCCTGACTGCTCTCCCTGAAGCTGACTCACTCTCTACAGTTTGCATCCTGCCAACAGCAATCAGAGGAATCCTTTAGAAACAGAAATCAAATAAAGTCACAAACTGTCTCTCCACTGTCCAATGACTTATACTTGAACCACATTCCAACACTTCACCAACTCGTGCTGTGTGATCTGCCTCCAGCTACCTCTCCAACCCCATTTCCTCCTATACTACCAATTACTCTCTGCCCTGCAGCTATCCAGGCTACCTGGCCTTCCACAAATGCTGCAAGTACAGTCCTTCTCTGCTCCTTTGATTTTCTGTTGCTTCAGCCTGGATTGCTCTTTCCCTAGATGCTTCCTTAACTGGCTCCATCTCTGCATCCAGACAGCTGCTCAATGCCAACTTTTCAGATTCTTGAACTGTCTAAAAAAGCACCCCTGTCACTCTGTCTACTTACCATTTTCCCCCAAGTATTTATTTTGGTTGTTATCTATTTTTGTGTCTCTTCCTCCATTAACATAGGTTTCAAGAGATGATGGGCTTGAGCTGGTTGGTCACACAGCTCCAGCACCCAGTACAATGCCTGGCTCATAATGGATGCTGGATGCAACTTACATAGTACATGGGACATTTGGGTATTTTCCCTTCACATTCTCTCTTATTTTCTTACTTCAGATATCACAGACATTATGTGCTTCATCAGAATTGAAGCTCCTGCCCTGGAGCTCATGTTCTGTGTGTTTCCATCCTCCCCAGCTGGTTTCCGCCGCAGCATGCGCCTTTGTCGAAGGAAGTCTCACCTCAGCCAGCTGCATGCCACTGCATGCTGCGCTGGCAGCTGCTACAATGCAATGGGTGCCCCTTATGAGGAGGTGGTGAGGTACCAGCGACGCCCAACAGACAAGCACCGCCTCATAGTGCTTGTGGGTATGTCTCAGTATGCTCTGCCTCTACTTGTCATTGGGGAGTTGCCTTCTAGATTTAATTGTCTTGCATTGTGAGTAGTAGAAATCCTTATAGACCTTTATATAATTCCTTAAAAAAAAAAAAAGCCTGTTTCAGCAGGGTGTGGGTGGCACACACCTGTAATCCCAGAGATCTGGAGGTAAAGGCAAGACGATTGCAAGTTCAAGACCAACCTCAGAAATTTAGGAAGATCCCATCTTAAAAATAAAAATAATAAAAAAAAAGGCTGGAAATGTAGCTGAGTGGTAGAGCACTCCGGTTTAATTCCTGGTACTRGGAGAGAGAGAAAAAAAAAGCTTATTTCATATTTGTGTTTATAAACAAAAGTTTATTGTAGCAAGCTTTTGGGAAAATATACAATTGAATATGTTATGCCATGTATGAACCTAATAAACCTAATTATTATGTTCATATTATGTATGAACATAATAAAAAGTTGTATTATGACAAAGTCATAATTGATATTTCTTCTGTCTGTTTAGAAGTTGTTCTGTAAGCATACATTGTTCTGTATGCCCCCAAACTGGATCATTAGTCTGTGTTAGGAAAATAAACACTTAAAGTTGATTTCCCTAAGAACTTTGTAACCATTTCCTCCAGAAAAGTGGCYGAAGTCTTCTGTACTGTATTTTGGGGACTAAATAACCAGGCAAATGTTGAGCTTGAGTGTCTTGCTTTTGTAACCAAGATCTCTACAAAGTTAGCAGCTTATATCTTACTGCCATTTTCTGTTCAGCTGTGAGCAGGGCAGGCCCCTGCAGGGCAGAACATGTCATAGATCCAGTTATCTCCTTTGCAAGGAATAGTGTAAAATGAAAACACAAGAGTTGTTTGTTCAAATTATTAGGATTTCAAGGTAGAATAGCAGAGCATTAATGCAAGTAAGGTATCCTAAGCATGGGCTCTCTGTGCTCAGAAAATCAGCCCTGTTTCTAGTTAGACATGTTTTGCTGATTTAACTACCAGTCAGAAATGTGCCCTTGAATTCCTTAAATCACAGAACCTATGGCTGTCAAGTCTGATTTCTGACTGTGATATGTTAGTAACTTCATTTGAAGAGGAAAGGCAGGATGTCTCAGATTATCCTAAATGAGACCAGCAAGTTCTCACAGCATCCAACATTAGGTAAAGTTCACTGGAGTAACAGGTGCTTGCAATTCCTTACCTCATTTCTGCATGTTGAAGCAGTGTGGGTTACTGCACGGATCACCAAGAAAATTCCCAAGAGTTTTATTAATTCACAAGAAAGGATGTTACATAATTTCCCCAAGAAACATTTGCTCTCAAGTTTCTTCAATAAAAGGACTGAAATAATGATCTTAGCACATAATTATTTGTATGCACATCTAATAATTTCTGTATGTGACTCTTTTTATATTTAGGACCTTCTGGCGTTGGAGTCTCTGAGCTGAGAAGACAACTTATTGAATTTAATCCCAACCATTTTCAGAGTGCTGTGCCACGTACGTTTGGTTTCTGTTTTAGCAGTKCATGTTTTGGTAAAACATTATTTCAAATGTCCCAATCTTACTTAACCGTGTCATATTGTTKTAAGACACAAGGGATAGTCCCTAAGTATTTCTAACTATATACTGGCATTTCAGATAGAGAGACTTTTCAAATGTGACTTTCCATTTCTTAACTGTAATATAAATGACCTCTCAGGAAAAAGAATATTTCAGTAAAAAAGGCTAAATATTCATTCAGTACTTCTTATCTTCCTGGCACTGTTCTTGGYTCTTGCCTATCTTACTATTTTTTTAATCTAAAAAATTAATATTTGCACATGTAACTTTATGTAAATTGTAAGTATGATTAAACCACACATGGTGTTTTTAAAAATCATATTCTCTTATTACCTTTTACCCAGGGTCCTTTATTTCTCATAAGCTACCGGTTCACCACTACCACCTCCCAAGATGCAATCTCTTAGATTTTTCTATATTCATTTATCCARTCAGAGTATATTTTCTAAGTTTTAAGATATTTGAGAACTGTACTTCTAAAAAATAAGGTATTATTATTATTTGCTTCATTATTCAAAAAAAAATCTTTAAAATCACTCTAAGAAACTCAGTTTGGTTGCAAAAATATAAAAGACAAAGACTTAGAATTCCTGAGTTCAAGAAAATAGAAGGTTTCTAATCATATATAGTCTATTACATGTAAAAGGAGGGTAAAGTTTAACTGAGGCACTAAGATGTAAACTTTTAAGTGAGGAATGTAGAAATTATTTAAGCCTGGCACACATATAAGCAGAGTGAAAGGGGTGGGAATAGAAATAATAGGAGATTTTAAGGACACTTTTACTGGAGTAAGCCATGCTGTGGGATGGCTTCCAGGCCAATGTGGGTGGGAAGAGCATGTGGGTGTGGTGTTTCTCCTTCCCTTCAGAGCAGGAGGAAGGAACATAGGGAGACTAATTTAGGGAGCTTTATATGTGCTCCCTTCATGGAGGGAATGTAGAGGGAGAAACACAGAAGACTGATGTTAGAATTATTCCTGAAAAATCTAAAGGACAAGAGATTAGAGCAAGAGGCCAATGGTGACATTTGGGAAATAGCTGCCTGTGTAGACAGGCAAATCTGGGTAGATGGTGTGGGAAAATGTCAGCCTGGGATTATTTTAGCACCTGCCCAAGAGGAGGCCTCAGTTGAAGACCAAAAGGGACTCCCAGATGCATCAGAGTATAGAAGGAATACACAGACAAGCCGGAAAMGAGATTGGATTTGCGAGCCCCAGTTGTTGTGTGGGTGGTGATGGTAGGGTGGTAGGGTTTGCAAAATAGTCCAATACTTCATCTAGGAGAGAAAGCCAGATTTAAACATCTGATGAGTCTAAAGGAAGCCAAGGGCAGCCTTGGTATCTGTCAAGTGGAAACTTCTCTGACCTGTTTTTCCTTTCTCTGCCTGCACTCTAGTTTGGAGAGTTATAAAAACTGAGGGAGGAGTGGTRGAAATGCAATGAAAAGAAAGAAAAGAGAATATTATTCCTTTTCTTGACCTCTGGCTTCTCTAACTTCAGGCTTCCCTCTGTGTAACACATTTGAGACAGATGTGAAGAAATGCCAAAAATATAAATGCAGCTCATAATTTTGATTATTACATGGAAAAGGAGTTTAAATTATTAAATTGAATCTGAATGAAGAAAATGTAATTGTGGAAGGAATGATGGTAGACTTTAAAAATTGTTTAAAATTAAACCTAAGGCTGATCAGAAAAGTCTGAGGAACTACTAGATTTTCTTCCAAGGTAACGGAAGGTCTTGCTTCCCAGAGGCAATGGGAGACCATCAATGTTGCTTTATGGTCCCACCCYATCAGTTGTGTTTTGTGAAATATCAATATCACTTACATATGCAAGAGCAGACATTAATCTCAAAGACAAAAACTAAGAAATCACCATTTTTCAGTAGTCCAGATAAAAGCAAGATGCCCACAGATCRTAGAAGAATTTTATCATTCAAAGTGAGGGAAAAGAAAATGCCTATATTTTGTTTTTTTTTTAAGTTAGCTGAACAGTTTTATACTTAAAATGGCTATCCCACTTATGTATTAATTTGTAGACTTTAACTTACTTTATAAAATATCAATCCAACTGAAAAAAAGGAGAAGGAGTCATCTTAGAGACTTGAATGAATAAAAAACAAAAATGACCCCAAGATGGCATTTACTTTTTTTGAGCCAYTTGAAGGTCTGTAACTTTGATCATTTAGGGTGTGTTTCCAGCTCTGGCTTGGTCATTTCCATGTTTTGATACATCAGGTATCRATCCATTTCATCTTTAAACTTTATMAAATGCAAAAACAGAAGTTCTTTATTAATAAGGGAAGATTTTTGTAGTGGAGAGTAAGGAACTAGCTTTGAAGCATGTGGGATACAGAGTTGGAACTGTGTATTATTCATCTGAGTTCTAAGAACCTAACATGATATTTGGAACACAGAAGGCCCACAGTACACATTAGTTGAATAAATGGATGAGCAGACAATAAGTAACTCACTTTTAGGTATTTGATGAACTCCTATATTTTCTACCAAGTGTTATTTAAGTTGAAGATTCTAAAATTAAAGCAGCCATGTCAAAGAATCAGACTGAATCTAGACTTGGCCTAACTTTTCCCTTCAGTCATCTCCAAGAATAATCACCATCCTGACTTGGGTACTATTACATTTCATTTGAGCAAGACTGTAGAATGACATGGACTTTTTCCATTTCAAATTTGAGACAATCTGGTAGAACAGAAAATAGTCTAGGAGGAGGCAGAATACTAGGTTCTAATTTCACCTTCGCTTTTCATTAGTCTCATGAATGTGAGAAAGCTAGTTACTCTCCGAAAGCATGAGTTACATTTCAGAAAAATATAAATAATAACATTCATCTATCTAGGAGTATGGGGGATGAAATGAAATAATTAGAAAGGTACTATCCAATCGAAGGGTACTGTTGGTATTGCTACCTGGGAGTATACAGGAATTTTAGGGTCCACACATAATTAATCATTGTCTGTTTTGACTAAGGGACTTTCCCCCCAGTGCTGGGAATTGAACTCAAGCTCTCCCATAGGCTAGGCAAGTGCTGTATCACTGAGCTACATCCCCAGACCCCTGTTTTGAATTCTAGCAGGTGTTCTGTTAGGGCCTTCTTATCCTGGCTTAATACTAATACATTCTTTTCCACAGTCTGAGCACTCAATAAAGGTTTATTGATTGTTTATGATATGAGAACTTCTTTCTTATCACCAATTCAGCCTTCCTGTTTTTGGTTTTTGCATTTTACTTATCTGTTTGTTTACGTATTCACTTATTTGTTTTGATCAAGCTTCTTTATCCAAATGCATATTGATAACAAAGCAAAATATTTTGAAGACTCTGAAAACTTTCATTCCCCTTTTTCATAGATACTACTCGATCCCCAAAGAGTTATGAGATGAATGGGCGTGAATATCACTATGTGTCGAAAGAAACATTTGAAAACCTCATGTACAGTCATAGGTAACGTTCAGAAGCTAATTCTTGCTGCTAGTTGTTTGAAATTTAAAATGTTTGACATTCTCCATTTTTTAAAATGCATTTTCTAAAGCTCCTCGGGGAAAATTCCTCTGGACTAAAGAGTTAAGCAAGGAAATGTACATTGATACCTAGTACACCAATCCATTGGTTTTGGAAAGGGGGCAGAATCAGGTTGCAAAATTTAGAGAATCTGAGGAAATAGTTAAGACCTATGTCTTCTAATATATTTTCCCCCACCGAGTATTCACTAATTCTTTTCTTTGCAAACAAATATAAAATCTCTATATTTATATTCAATTCTATTGGAAATTATTTTCATGTTACTACTATGATTTTACTTGTAGAGAAGTTCTTGTTTCCTTTGTTCTACCCCTGCAGGATGCTGGAGTATGGTGAGTACAAAGGCCACCTGTATGGCACTAGTGTGGATGCTGTTAATGCTGTCCTTGATGAAGGAAAGGTCTGTGTCATGGACTTAGAGCCTCAGGTGGGTGTGTGTGGCAATTTTTCTGATCGCCCCAAAGTTAAGTGCATCACCCGTGTTATGCATATGCTGCAGGTTATAGCTGAGACATTTTATTCTGTTAGCCTTATGAGACCCCCTCTCTAAGGACGAGGTTGTTACTTGAAGTATCAGTTCCTAACATCTTATTCTCAGTTATGGAAGAACTCTTACTTGTCAGACACAAGAACAGAACTGAAAAGTTGGTCATAAAGAAAATTTAGAATCTTTCTTGCTTTGACCTTCATCATAAATGCATCAAGGTAACTTCTTATGGAAGCAATAACATGTGGCTGTATACAAGGAGGGTGAGGTTCCTAGGTTTTCATATCTTTATTAATTCTCTGAGACCACATGTAGAGGAGCAGGGGTGAGCAACATAGGGTATGTTCAAGAGCATGCAAGGAATAGGTTCACTTTTTATGATTCATATTTTCTTAGTCATTTAAAAATATAAATTGGCCAATAAATATATGAAAGTGTTTGGCATCCCTAGCAATTAGGGAAATGCAAATCAAAACTACATTGGCATTTTATCTCATCCAGTCAGAATGGCAATCATTAATAATACAAATAATAATAAATGCTGGTGAGGATGTGTGGGAAAAGATATCTATTCCTACATTGTAGGTGGGACTGCAAATTAGTAAAACCACTTGAAAAAGCAGTATGGCATTTTTCCGAGATTGTTTCATTTTTCATTAAAAAATTAGGAAGGAACCGCCATATGACACAGCAATCCCACTCCTTGGTATTTTTCCAAAAGAACTAAAATCAGTATTCAATAGTGATATAGCCACTTCAATGTATGTAGCAGTATAACTCACAATAACTAGGTTATGGAATCAGTCCAGAGGCCCATCAATTGATGAATGTACAAAGAAAACATAGTGTAATATACAACGGAGTTTTACTCAGCCATAAAAGAGGAATGAAATTATGGCATTTGCTGGAACTAGAGAACATCATGCTAAGTGAAATAAGTCAGACTTATAAAATCAGTGTTGAATGTCTTCTCTCATATGCAGAAACTAAAATGAAGGGGAAAATGTGGGGKTTTTTTTGGTGTGTGTGTTTGTGTGTGTGTGTGAGTATGTGTATGTGTGTGTGCAGAGTTCCATAAAAAATCAGTGGCTCATTGGAAGGGCTTGAGGGGGAGGGAGGATAAATGGGAAAAGAGAGGAATCGTGGAATGAAATTGTCCAAATTATGCTGTGTTCAGCATAATTTATATATATATATATATATATTATATATATATCTCACAGTGAATTTCACCTTTATGTATGTCTATAATGTACTAATTAAAAAAAAACTATAAATAAGTAGAAGAAAGACTAGAGGAAGGGGAACAGAGAGGAAGAAGAGGAGGAAAAAGGGAAGTACTGGGGACTGAAGTAGAGCAAATTATATTTCATGCTTATATGATTATGTCAAAATGAACCCCAATGTTAGGTATATCTATAATGCACTAATAAAAACATTAAAATATACTTTGTATGCTAGAGAGAGTCAAAGGAAGAGAGATTCTTTTTCATTGGGTCAAAGCCAGTGGTCAAGGTGAAGATGGTAGCAGTATCCAACATGAGGTGATAGCAAAAGGAAAGAGAAATGAGGGTGAAACAGAGTTGACTCATCTTGAGTTTCTGTCTGTGTCATACGAAATCATATATAGGATCCTATTCTCAGTAAGATTCTGTCACATAATAGAGCTTAATCAGCTTGTAAGATTTACGTAGCAAGTCATAACTAGAAAGAGGAAGACCAGGATTGAAACTTAATTTTGATTCTTGAACCCCACCTCTTAATTATTAAAAAAACATTTACTATTTTAGAGTTGAGGAACTGGGAGTTCATGAGACTATACTCTAGTTTATTTCTGGTCTTCTTAGAAGTTTTGAGAATATTCCTGTTGACTCTAGGAAGTTAGGAATCTGGTTTTTAAATGTACATTCAATTTTTTCTTTGTAGGATATTCAGGCAGCTCGAACCTGCGAACTGAAGCCCTATGTTATATTTATAAAGCCATCTAGCCTGAGTTGCATGAAACAATCTCGGAAAAATGCCAAGATTATCACTGACTACTTTGTGGACATGAAGTTCAAGGTAGATCAACTAAAAAAATTACTGTATTTCTGTCAGTGATGATGAGGCCAGGAGATCCAAGCCAGGTTGGGCTGAGCTGAAAACCTTGACCTCATTGTCCTACTTACCCCTTCTTTGATCCTTTTCCCAAGAGTCCCTCAGAATGGTTCAATCAAAARTAAATAAGAAAATAAAAATCATTGTATTGCTTTTACATGATCCCCATATCAAAGAATGTAATTTTTGTTCCTAATGAGTAGTGCCCTTATAATTTATTCTTTTTTACTGGACATCACTTATAGATATTTGAATAAAGTTAGTAAATGCTATGATGCTTATTTTTTGTCTTTTTATTTTTGGGGGTCTAGTTTTTTTTTTTTTTAAAGACCCTCATGCCACAGTTTGCAAAGCCAAACAGAAATGAGTATGTACAAGCATATTTATATTTTGAACAGATCATTTATTTTTACTTGGACATTAATTTTTAAAAATGCTTTAGTGAATGTATTTTTGTAATATGAGGTATCYCACAGAAACTTTTTAAAAAATATTTTTAGTTATAGATTGACACAATACTTTTAATTAAATAATTAATTTTGGGTACCAAGGATTGAGCTTAGGGGCACTCAACCACTGAGCCACATCCCCACTCATCCCTATTTTGTATTTTATTTAGAGACAGGGTCTCACTGAGTTGCTTAGCACCTTGCTTTTGTTGATCTGGCTTTGAACTCTCCTCAGTCTCCCAAGCCTCTGGGATTAAAGGCATGTGCCACCACATCCAGCTTATTTATTTTTATGTGGTCCTGAGGATCAAATCCAGTACTTTACACATGCTAGGCAAGTGCTCTAGCGCTCAGCCACAATCCAATCCCTTGTAAAAACTCTTATTAATGATGATAGCAATAATAGAGAAACTAAGCATACATACATACACACATATATGTATGCATGTATGTGTATTTTTAAATTAAGTCTACTTGAGATGTTTTGGGTCATAAGATATGATACATTAAGTTGTATAAATCTTATGCGTGCAGCTCAATGAATTTTTACATGTTGTATGCACCCTACAACCATCACCTAGACTAAAATATTATACTTATTTGTATGTGGGGGAAGTAAAAAACKCACAACATAAAACCTACCTACCATCTTTACCAAGTGTACAGTTCAATAGTGTTGAATATATTCATATTACTGTAAATAGCCAAATATTATTCATTTTGCTAAACTGAAATTAAAAATATGACTACTTCACAAATTTCCATGTTATCCTTGCAGAGAGGATATTRCTAATCTCCATACTATTATATTATTATATATGTGCTGCCAAAGTAAGCACAAAGTGGCTTTATATTATCTTTTATTTTTAACTATTTTTGTCATCATATTTTTTCAATGAGTATTAAATTTGCCTTTTGGACTGGAGTCCACGAATGTATTCTCCGAGTCTTTTGGGCATTTAAAATTGTGTTTTCACCGGGTGTGTTGGTGCTTGCCTGTAATCCCAGCTACTCAAGACTAAGGCAGGAGATTGACAAGTTTGAGGTAATTTAGTGATATCMTGTTTCAAAATAAAATAAAAATGTAGTTTAGGGGCTGGGGCTATAGTTCAGTGGCAGAGCACTGGCCTAGCATGTGTGAGGCCCTGGGTTCAGTCCTTAGCACCACATAAAAATGAAACAAATAAAAGAATGCTTTCCATCTACAACTACAAATAAATAAATAAATAAAAATTTAAAAAGTTTTAAAAAGGGAAAGGTTTATTTAAAAAAATGTAGTTCAGTGGTAGAGCACTTGTCTAGTATGTGTGAGGCCCTGGGATCCTTCCCAACACTTCCAAAAAAGTGTGTTCTTATTTGTAGTCATCTCAACAAATTAATAAAATTATTTCTGGATCATGAGTATGATTTACCTTGTAAAGAAATACTGCCACATATTTCTATGCAGCATTTATATGTGCATTTAAGATTGCATTGGCAACAAATTGTACTATTCTAATTGTTGTAGACAACTAAGAAAACAACAGCAATGAATTTAGTGTATTAGGGACAAATGAAGGCCAAATGACCTTCTTTTAAGGACCATTTCACAAGGGAAGAAATAGACAATATTATAGGTAAATTATGTCATCATAGAACAAAAGGTAATTTATGTATGCCCAATGCAATAGGAATATGTCAGGCTACCCTAATGTTGCAAGTGGTCATTTTGTATCTGCAAAATAATGTCATTCTTATTGGGTTAATGTTCATTTGAAATTTATGTTTAAATTTTATTTAAGTGGATAATTTTCCTTTGGTTTTATGCCACATATGGTTTGAGAGCTTCAAATATGTAGATAATGGAGCAAAATAAGTCTACATGGGAAGTTGAGGAGTAATTTGTCTATAACTATTCCTAAAATTTGCAATACTGATGAGAGAAACATTGAGTAAGACTAAAGGTCAAAAATGTAGGTTTTGTAATATAGAATAGAGGGCATTTATTTAACATGTTTTTTTTAAGAGAGAGAGAGAGAATATGAATCTTTTTTATAGATGAACACAACACAATGCCTTTATTTTTATGTAGTACTGAGAATCCAACCCAGGTCCCGCCCATGCTAGGCGAGTGCTCTACTGCTGAGCCACAATCCCAGCCCCTATTTAACATGTTTTTATAAACTACTTCACAACTGAATGTGACAGTATAACAAACTGTGTATTATTTCTGTGTCACTAAGTCTGTGCCATCAATATATATATATTTTTTTCTCTGAAGGATGAAGACCTACAAGAGATGGAAGATTTAGCCAAAAAAATAGAGACTCAGTTTGGCCAGTTTTTTGATCATATGATTGTGAATGACAACTTGCAAGATGCATGTGCCCAATTGTTGTCTGCAGTACAGAAGGCTCAGGAAGAGCCTCAGTGGGTACCAGCAACATGGATTTCCACCGATGCTGAGTCTTAATCAAGCCTCCTGCTTAAAACTGAAGTTTTAATATTGTACCCTTGTTTCAGAGATCTGAAATGACAGTTGCAATCTAAAACAGTATTATTTGTCCCATTATAATGTGTGCAACTTATGAAGTACTGTAGTTTATTAATTATTCTTATTTTTTAAAATGTATGGTTAGATATGTTATTGTATAGTTACATAGATTTACCTGTTTGGCTTTTAGGCATTTTTTTCCCTTTACTTCATATGAAGAATTGGTAGAAATATGAATTATGTTAAGTTGCTGAAAATGAGAACCTTTCATAGATTTCATATGGTCTAAGTTTCAGGTAAAAAGAGCTTTCCTAAATAAAATAAACAGTACTTAATTTCAGAAACTGTATTTTTAGTTCATGAAACTTGTTTTATGAAATTTGTTTTTACAAAAAGTGCCTACTGGACCAAATCAGCAAAAATAGCTAATATGTACATTTCATATCTAACATCAAAACTTCTACAAATGCCATTGTCATTTATGAATCAGGCTACAAGGAACACATATTCTTCTGATCAGAGGTATAACAATCATAAATTTTCCTAAAAGCCAACATCCATATGTATGCCTAAATTTGGAAAAGATGATGGACTAGTCCTGTAGATCTGTAGATCTGAGAACACCATAAGATGAGGATATTATTCCAAAGACTTATTTTTCTTTCTTTTCCTAGATCTGAGACTTTCAGTTGCTCTCCCTGCTCGTATATTTGTTAATCTTTCGCATCACTTTCTTTCTCCATATGTATACCGTGCCTCCAATCTCTTAACTATAAAGCAGAGTGTATGATTMAAAAATATTTATGGTTCTTTTTTACTTAGATAACAAATTTTATCTTTCTGATATGATCAGGGGACATCATAGGGATAAAGGGCAAAAGCACTCTTGGGCCTTGGCTCATAGCCTGACAGCCATTAAAAGGTCCCATTTCACTCGCAGATTTTCAGATAACAAATGTGCCTCATTTATCCACTATCATTACAACCAAGGTGGTTCAGGCGACTCATCCCTATCACAGGGCAAAGATGCTTGAAGTGACCTCACGGTTTGAAGATTAACAATTAACATTCCTAACCCCATCTCTGCTAAGAGCCAATAAAAGGAGCTCTTTTCTTTTGTTTCTTGTGGAGCTTCCCAAGTAGAGGCCCAATAAAAGCTTAGCCTGTATGTTCCTGCTTGCCTTGACTCGATTTCCTGTCTGTCTGCACTGAGACAAAGTTCCCACTGCAAGGCATCATTTTTTTCCTTTAAAAAAATATTTTTAGTTGCTGATGGACACGATATCTTTATTTTGTTTATTTGTTGAGGATCAAAACCAGAGCCTCACACGTGCTAGGCAAGTACTCTACCACTGAGCTACAATTCCAGCCCTTAACATTTCTAAGAAAAAAATTTACGAAAAAAATTGTCTTTTTTAATACTTATGTGAGATCCGATTTGATTTTATGTTGTGGTTCTTTGAGAAAAAGTTTCTCCACACTTGATGTAGGATGGAGGGTGAGTAGATTTTTTTTTTTTTTTTTTTTTGGAGAAAAGCAGAACTGCCTCGCCTTTAAGGCAGGCAGGCGCGGATTCCTTCCGTTCTAAGCCAGCCGCCTGTCAAATCGAATGCGGGCGGGGATCTGGCCCAGGGGGTGGCGGCCTCGCCCCGTGCCACGAAGCTCCAGCATCTCGCAGGTCTTGTAAGCCGCGGCGTCGCGGGGAGCGAGGCTCTGGTCCGCTGCATTCGAAGGAGCCCGGGGGAGACCACCATGAGGACCGACGCCGGGCCTCCGCTGGAGGAGGGCCACCCGGTGAGCGGGCGAGGGTCGCGTCTGCCCCTAGGGCTGGCGGGTCCGAGGGTGCCCTAAAGCAGTAGCTATCCTGGGGCAGGGCCGATTCCAGCGTGCGGGGTTCGGGAGGCCTTGCACTGCTGCGTACTGGCCCCTGGAGCCTGTCTAGGGTGGGAAGGGGCTGGGAACAAACAGGAAGTTTCCGACGCCTGAGTTCGCGTTGCCATGACGACGCGTCGCTTCGCYGTCCCCGGGCGGGATGCGGTGCTGCAGCTAAAGCCCGGGTTCCGAGAGCTCCCAGACAGGCCTTTCAGCCTTTCAATCAAGGACTCCTCTCCTATTCTCTACCCCTACCCCCACCACAACAAATCACGGCAAGCACTTAGCCAACCATGGGGGAAACCGTGATCGCAGCCCCATCCCCGCTGGAGTCTCGGCTCCCGGGCAGTTTGGCCACGATCTCGAGGCCCCTTTTCCGTAATGCTGGTTTGGAAAGGTCAAACCAGGTCCCGGCGCCCCCGTCCCCCTCACATCTTCCTCAGGGGTCACGGGCGCTGGACGGCCTGTAAGGCGCAGCTCGATGACGCACTGCGCTTGCGCGAGGCCGGGCAGCCAGGCGGCAGAGTGGCGCTCCGCGCCCAGGTCCGGCGGCCGCTGGCTGGGCTGAAGACGGAATGGGGAAGAAGCAGGTGGTAAGCGAGCCTTAGTAACTTTGGAGCTGTTAGGACTTTTGTCTTCAGTTGAGCCATCTACTTTCGAGGGTCTTAGAGGTTAGGTTTCTGTACGGAGGAAACGTCATTTTTTTTTGCGGGGCTTTTGAGATGCTGCAGTTATCTTGGGTTCTGGGTCCTTGGATAGAACTTGAGATTAGTGCTTTCACCAGACTTTGCCCTCTCATTCTTTTCCAGTTGTAGTTTTGACTATGGAATAGTATTAAGACATCCTGTATTGTCGTAATCTTGTAGCATTTGTGTTAAAACTAGGGTTTGAATGGACTGCTAAATGGAACGTAGTGTGCTGAATGGGACACACTACCAGGGTGTCTAAAATGTAAGTCTTTGGAATCAGTGTCTTCTGCAAGCAGCATGAGCTACCTGGAATATTGAATTCGCTTGTAGGCATTTCTGTATTTATTTTTGAAAGATTTCAGAATGCTTCTTAACTGTAGTACTTTCTGAACTGCACACACTTTTTTATTCATGTATAGCAGCATATTTGAGCCCACCCCCATTTTTTGGTCTTAAAATCCATTCTAAACTGTGTATTCAAAGTTATTTTTTTTTAAAAAAGCATATTACCATGTGGCTTAAAACTTCCACTGGCTTCCCATTTAATTCAAACAAAATCCAGATTTCTTCCCTCTGTCTTCAAGGCCCTAATTAATCGGATTCCTTTCTACATGTTCTTGATAACTGTGCTGCAGCCTTGCTTAGTTTTGCCCGAAGGATTTAGCATTTGCTGCCCATTACCTTATTCATTCATGTCTTAGCTCAAGTATCTCAGAGAAACTTTTCCCTAAGTAGCACTCCTCATTTTAAAACCATATATATGTTTATTTATCATATATATATAYACATTTTATCATATATAACATGTAGATATATACATATCTACATATTTTATCATAAAATGTGTATTTTTATTATATAAACTTTATCTTCTAATGCTTAATCACTACAATGTAGGCTCAGAAAAGCAGTGATCTCTCTTTTGTTCCCATCCCTAATGCTTAAAATGGAGCCTGGCTTGTGGACAGAAAGAAATGTAAGAAGGAAAGAATTTTATGTGAAATTTAGAAATGGTAGAACAAATTTACACTGACCCATCTGATTTATATCAGTTCCTCCCAGGTTTTGCTGATGAACACAGTTATCAAAAGATTTGAGGATATTCATCTGATCCATTATATTTTCCTGCTGTGTCTGAACAATAGGCTTTTTAGAGGATAGCTTTATGGTACTTGAGATACATGATGGTAAGATGCTCCAGGATTTTACTTACAAGCAATTTTCTTTCTTCCCCTCCCCAATAGCGTCCTCCACGAGCACTTCCACCTGCACCAAGGTAAAAATCTCATTAATTTCATTATTGAATTTTAAAAATGTAAAATGAAAAGTGGAAAAATTGACTAGTACCATTGAAAAAATATGATGCTTCAGAGAAAACTTCCTGAACATTTTAGGAAAAGGGTTCCTAAAGTTTTAAAGGAAAAAAAAATCCTTGAATCATGAAAATAACAGTTATAATTAAAAGTTCTATTTGAAAGCCTGAATATCAACATGATAGAACAATGAATCCATTCTGAATGTTTTAGTGTCTTGTTTATCAGAATTTTGATCCTCTTTTGTTTGCTAGAATAGTTTCCTCAGAGTTTAAGCTGATTTTAGTCAGTGACAAATAAGAGTTCTTAATCTGCTTAATCCACTTTATTAATAGACAGCAAGGAATATATTCAGGAAAATTTGGGGGTTATTTTATTAGCAGTGCAATTAAAAGGCTTATTAGTTATTACTGATAAGGTAGTTTATAACTAGCTGACATTATAAAAACCATTTTTACTTTAAATTTATAATGATTTAAGTCAGTTTTCATTCATGCAATAAATTTCTAATTAATAGTTTCCTTTTTTGTCTTTGTTGTGCTGATTAAATTTGGTCGGTGTCATATGAAGTGCTGTTCAAGGTGAGTTAGTTTGCTGTTAATATAAAATTTTCTAAATATAGTTTTTGGTGTTCAAATATAAGTTTGAAAGCTGGACATGGGGATATACACCTCTAGTCTAAGCTATTTGGGAGGCTGAGGCAGCAGGATTGCTTCAGCCTGGGAGTACAAGCCAGCCTGGGCAACACAGACCATATTCTAAAAATAAGTGCTCTCTCCCGCTACAAAAATAAAAATCAGTTTGATTTCTTAGTTAGTTTCTCTTAAAATTATATCTGAATAGTGTTATTGATAATAGTATAGTATCTACTAGTCATAATCATCTTCCATGACTTTCATTTATTAAATATGAATGATGTATGACACCAGATTGCTTTATTATAAGAGCACTTCATCCCTGAAAGAAGTTACCCAGAACATAACTGTTGACTAGTTTATAACTGTAAGATAGATTGCCCTTTTTTTGCCCCCTCATTTAGTCAGCATAGGAAAGATCATGCTACACTAACCACTTTCAAATCTCAGTGACTTAATATCATGTAGGA